GTGCTGTACAGCCTAACCTGGTGGAGTCGTTTCTCCAGCCCCTGCACCCTGCTCCCAGCAGTGCTCTGCTATAGCACACTGGTGGGGAGAGGAAGTAGCAGTGCTGTCTGGAGGAAAGGAGAGGATTAGGCACAGTGCTGGTATGAAGATGCCATGGAACTGCTGTGGTTTCTGTGCCCAATAGCTGTGACATCAAGCAGTCAAATCCCTCCCCCAACGTGTTGGTGTCTTGCACATCACGGGAACATCATGAGTTGGTTTTCCATGAGGAAATAGGAAAGCCAGGCAGGGAGGCACTCAAAGTGGGACCAACCAGTTTTGTTTTGGTGACTGAGCTGAAGGGAACCATCTCCATGGACAAGCTGGGGACCTCCCTGTGCTTGGCAGTGCTGTTCCAAGAAAGGGGTAGCTGGCACTGCGTGAAGCACAAGAAATACCTAGGAGCTAACATCATAATTATTCCTGCTCTGGTAGCTAGTGGGTATTAGCATCACAGAGAAGGACTTTTATTTTCAGATTAAGCTGAATTCAGGCCAGATGTATAAGAGTTGATAAGACTGTATTTGTCTGAATGTAGATCATTCTTTGCCTTGACAGTGTATATTTTTTAGTTTGAGATTTAATAGTGGTACTATTGCTACCATCTTCCTTGTATAGCTCCTATTCTCAGTAAATCTCTGTGGAATTAGCCTTCCTAGAAGAGACTTTCTGCCTATTCAGTATATGGGGAAACTAAGGCACAGGATGGTAATGAGTTGCAAGGTGTCACTGTAGGCTAGGAACAAACCTAGGGAAAAAGCCCGGCTTTATCAGGCTCTTAGTCCCTGCTCCCTGTATGGGGAAAGTAGCCAGCTTCTGTGGCCAGCAGACCCCCAAATGGCATCACTGATAGCTGCTGTCCTTCCCATGTCAGAGTTCTGCCAGCCAACTCACCAGGAGATGTGTCTCTGCTCTTCTCTTCCTTTGCAGGAGGCCTGGGAGAACATTCTCTTGTGTCAAGTGAGAACGCCACTTCAACTGATCGTAGTAACAAAGCAGTTAAAAAGGGTAATGTGGTACCCCACCCAGACCTTTGGGTATCTTTTATTTACTTTTTTATCCCCTGTAAAACCATGTTTTGTCCTGTGTACATATGTGTGCCTCCGTGCCTAGGAGACCAGATGTGCCCAGGTGTCTGCGTTTGTTGCTGTTGGTGGGCTCTCTGCAAGGGTGGGTTTGCCTTGTATAGTGTGGTGGGTTGACCCCAGCCAGCAGCCAAGCACTCACACAGCTGCTTGGTCACTATCCCCCTCCTCCAGCAGGACAGGTGAGAGACCAGGAAAAGCAAAAGTGAGAAAACTCATTGGTTGAGATAAAGACAGTTTAATAAGTGAAAGAAAGAGAAAAAAACCAAAACCAAGTGATATAAAGGCAATTGCTCACCCCCATCCACAAGCAGACTGATGTCCAGCCAGTTTCTGAGCAATGGCTACCTTGGGAGACAAAACCCTGCAGATTTTATTGCTGAGCATAATGACATATGGTATGGGGTATCCATTTGGCCAATTTGGGTCAGCTATCCCAGCTGCATCCTCTCCCAGCTTCTTGCCTATCCCATGTCTGCTCGCTTGGGGAGTGGACAGGACTCAGCAGAGTGAGAAAAAGAAAGCCATGATGCTATGCAAGCACTTTTCAGCAATAGCCTGAACATTGGTGTGTTATCAACACTGTTTTACTCATATCCAAAGCATAGTACCTTATAGGCTGCCATGAGGAAAGTTAATTCCATCCCAGCCAGACCCAGTACATACAGGTAGCCATGACTGTCACCAGGACAGGAAAAACATTTTACTCCAAGACAGAGAGTGTAATGCTAGCTGGCTGCTCCTTGCTGTAGGGATGTTTCAGCTACACCAGTTTAAGTTTCTGTTCCCCTGAAGCAGGGCTATCACCCAGGCCAAGTTTTGCAGTTGTCTTCTCCCACTCATGTAGATAAGGTATTGCTTAGGGGATCAGTCCAGACCTGTGATCTTACAGCCATTCCCACAGGGTTGCCCTGTTCTATACAAGATGTTTGCAACCCACTGTGTGCAGGAGGGACTGTTGTTTCCCATGGATAGACAGAGGCAGCGAGGCAGAGATACCATGCAGCAGGTCAGTCAAGCGGGACGGGGCGGGGGGGAGAGACATTTGCACTCATGGCTGCTGTGTTCATAGCCCAGTGCTGTATTCCCGCATCGGAGCTGCTTATGTCTCCTGAGCTGGTGGCAGGCCTGAGGCAGTGGAGCAGTGGGCAAGAGCACTTGAGGAAGGTGCTTCTGCTTGCAAAGCTGTGTTGGTGGCCTGTTTCCACTTAGATGGGGTGGTGCTGCTGTTGGTGTAAAGCTGGGCTGTCTCTGCTGTCCAGATGAGGCTGGGAGACTCCCCAGTGAGTTTCAGAGAGCAGCAGGGACTGTTTCATGGCATGTTGCAGATGTAGAGTGCTGCCCGGGCTGTGGGCAGTGTCAAGAGCCTCCCACCCCCAGCTAGTGAGCAGAAACCTCTGAGTGTTGTTCATCCTGGAGGGAGGGGGGGATTTTAGAAAGGATCTCAGTTGCCCCAGGCTTAGCAATAGTACAAGTCAGTAAGAGAGGTTATGTCCAGGTAGCCTAAGCATTAGAAAGGCTGCATGGCTTTATTTTTCACTGAAGAAACCCTCTCCATACATGCAACTTGGCAGTGACTGTAAGCAGTGCCTCTTCAAGCATGCTGTCCAGATTTCTTCTGTCCCCTGGTGATACAGCATCTGGTGCCTGCTTTCCCCAAGTCGCTGCTAGGGGGTGTGTGTCAGGTGTCTCCAAGCACCCCCTGCAAATTTAAGTTGTTAAAGGCAGAAAATTGTAGCAGGAATTAGGAGCAGTCAAGAGCTGTTGCAGGACTGGTGTGGAGAATTCACCCAAGAAGGTGTGTTGCTGGCAAGGAATGGAAGCATTGATGGCACAGAAGTGTGAACCCAGGGTCCTTCCTCTATGCAGAGCTCCTACTGCACCAGGCACAGGAGGGTGTGGGGCAGATGGCTCCTCACTTGGCTTTGCTGGCAGGAGCTGTCTGTGTGCAAATTCACGGAGATTTTGGGCAGCCCCAGGAGCAGTTTGTGACTGGGAGACAGTCGTCCACAAGACTACTTGTCTCAAGACACTCTCCCTTCTTCCAGCTGTGGCCCTTGTAATGCTGCAGCAGTACCTCTGTGGGACAGGTGTATGCAAAGAAGGGGAGGGTGGTTCTTTTTTCATTGGGGGAACCCCCAACCTCGGAGCATCTGCCTTCCAGGGTTCAGCAGCTGGCTTGGGGATGGGGCAGCTTCTGAAATGCCAGGTGCAGCCAGCATGCCAGGGAGGTGCTCAGGAGGAAGAGGAACAAAAGGCAAATTCCCAGCTTTGTCCTGCAGCTCAGAGCAAGGCCTTCAGCAGGAAGGGCTGGACCTGGTGAACCAGGAGGGAGGGTTTGAAGTTCATTCCTTCAATCCCCCTGCACTGCCTTAATTTCCTTCCCATTGTTTTGATCCCCTCAGCCTTGACAGTAGTGGTTTGCTTACCTATGCTTCCACTGGAGGGATGAATGGGAGAAGAGGCTCTCAGCAGCCCCTCTAGTCACTGGAGGAAGGTCTCAGCAGGGCTTGTGCTTTTTCATAACCCGGCAGCCCATGTCCCCGACTTGGAAAGCAAAGCTGTAGCAGGTCTTGCTGATTTCCATATGAACCACACCTGGAGCTTAGATCCCTCCTCTTGGAGTTTCAGTAGAGGTCTACCAGCACTCAGAAGCCACCCCCAGCAGTGCTGCCTCTCAAGGTGAGAAGGGAGTTCCCCTTGGTGTGACCCTTTAGGCCAGTACTCTCTGCAGGTGTAGCAACCCCTGTACTCTATTATTCCCTTGCCCAAGTCCAGCTCATGTGTTGGCTGTGCGATACAAGCTTATCTAAGAAGTGGTGTCTACGCAGTCCTTACACATGCTAGTAAAGCCTAGCTGGACTATGGCTGCTTTGAGAATTTGGATCACCCATGGCACAGCAAACAGGGGAGTGATCAGACAGGTAGCTCTGAATGGAGGATATTTCGTGCTGGGTCAGACCCACACCACATTAAAAGTGCAACTCATGTAGGCATAACCAGTATCTGAGCAGAGCTGCAGCAGCACAGTTGCAGGGCAAGGTACAGGGTCTGCCTAGAAGCCTATGTGAATCCTCAGGCAGCTTTTACGGCCAGCACCGAGCACCACACAGCCAGGGCTCCTTTGCCTTTTTATCAAGAAATGAGACATATGTTCTGCTTTCCCTTTTGTATTTTTGCTCCTTTTCATTAAAACGAAGAGATTCAGCATGGATGGAGATGTGTGCTAAGTATAGAATGCCTCAGCTTTTCCAGCCTTAGCATCCCTTCTCCAGCAGAGACTGATCTGTATATATTTCCAAACCACCCAAGACCTAGCATGTGAAAACAAACACTGTTATGTAATACTTTTCAGCCTTGAGTATAGGTTTCAGTCTAAGGCGTCTGCCCTCTTCTTCCAAGGCCAACTCAAATGAGTAGTTGTTGCTTTTGTGAAGCTAGCCCTGATAGAACAAACCTTTCTCTGCAGATCTGGATGAGTGGGGCGGGTTGAGAATATACAGTGACATCTGGGTTTGTCTGACACACCCCCCACCCCCATCCCTCTCCCCTTGTTTAAGTACTGTGTCCCCATCTATGAAGTTGCTGTTGGAGAATGTGGGTGGCTAGAGACGGGAGGGGTGTCCCTTTACACCTTTCTGGGAGAATAGGTTTGGCATAGTGCATATGGAGGCTTCAAGACAAGAAGGGCCAGGTTGCTACAGGTTACCTGTCTCTAAGTCCCAAACAAATCACTGGCAAATCTGGCTATGGCTTCTGGTTTGGATTAACATCTTTCTTTTTCTGTTTTTCGTTTTCTGAAGCTCCAGGGTATTACCTGAGGGCTGCATATGGAACTAAAGAGGATTTAAACAGTGTTGCCACTCTGTCTTGCAGGCGGCAGGCAGGACACAACGCTTGCAAGAGGACCGAAGAGGAAGGACTATAAAGATGAGTCTGGGATGGATACACATTCCTCTCCCAGAGTGCGCAGGGCAACCACATCCAGGGCTGAAAGGATCTGGCCAGGGGGTGTCATCCCCTATGTGATCGGAGGAAATTTCACTGGTCAGTAGTGAAAACATTGCTCTCTGTTTGCTCAGGGATGAGTGTCTGAAAATGTGTGGGAGATCTCGGGAGCAGTTCTCCCAGAAATGCCTCAGGTCCTTGGGAACTCTGTGCTGAGGTAGGGTGGGCATGTGGTTGCACAAGGAATTGTGCACTGTGGAAGCCTGAGACTGAAGTGTGCAGTGAGATGGTTCTTCTCTTGGGGTCCAAGAAGTAAATGGGTGACTTGGTCACTTTTCTTGATTGCTTCAGGGGCCAGCACCTGTAAGCTGTGCTCACCCCCTGTGTTTCCAGAAAGGGATCCGCTCTGCTGTTAGAAGAGCAGGAGCAGAAGTACCCTGGGTTGCTTTCTGAATCCCTACTCAGAGAGCTTTCCCTGTGCACTCTGCTTCCTGACCTGCTGATTTCTAGGCACGGAACTTCAGGGTCTCCTGTAGGTGTGTGAGGGAGAGGAGCAGTGAGCTGTGTGCCATGGTGGGTGGGGAGCTCTCCAAAGTATCCTTTTTAGGATCTTTATGGCATCTCCTGGGCACCATCCAAACTCAAGTGTCTCTTGGGGTGCAGCAGATCTCTTGCAAGTCTCTCATGCTAAGCAGACAGACAGCTTGCTCTGATGTCACCTCTCTGTAGCTCAGTGGTTCCCCATGGGACTGGTCTTCTTGACTTATGGATGAAAAGGCTCTGTGCCTCACTGGAGCTGGCTCCTTCCTGTCTCCCCCAGGCTGCCTCCCCCATCTCCCACTTAGATCCAGCAGACCTTATTTCCTTGGGCTCCTATGGTGTACTTTGTCCCAGAACCCAGATTGCTGCCAGGAGTCTGTGAAGCCCCAGTGGAAGGGTCTGTTCACCTCCTACAAAGGGAGGGGCTCGTGCAACCTGGCAGGATATTTAGTAGCTGTGCCCCCACATTTGTCAAAGAACAGCCTTCCCCATCCCTCAGGGTCTGATGAGAGAGTCTTTTCTGCGTTACATGTGTCCCACTGCCCTAACCAGTCCAGAGTAGGTAACACCATCCTTCCATTTGGGTGATTCTGTAAGAAGCAGCTCTTGCCATAGCATAGTTCTCTTGTGTTCAGCTTGGTGTTTTGCCTCAGCTTAATCCCACCCTGGAGCTGCTCTCTGTATTCCTCGTGCCTTTCTGATGTGTTTCTGGCCTTTCTCCACTCTCCAGTCCCTCTTGAGAGTGGCAGCTTGCTCTGCAGCCCTGTGCGTACCAGAGGCTATGCTGGAAAGGCAGTACTGTAGGGAAGCCTCCTGAGGCTGTGTACCGCTCTGGGGCATTGCTTCCTTGCTTTCTGTATGACTGTTCTGGATGCTGCTGAGTGACTGCTGGAGGTACCCTGCTCCCTGGGGAGGGGACATTCTGTAGCCTGTCATCTTGCTAGTGCGAGACAGGCATTAATACTCTATGTCTCAGGTGTCTCTGCTCAAGTCCTGAGCTGTCCCTCAGTTCGAGCACAGAGCAGCAGTGTATCTCTACACCTTCTTACACTGCCCTGAGACTGCTTCTAGCTCTTATATAGTTTTTGCTTCTAATTTTAAAGATAAACTACCTGACAACAGCTTTGCCTTAGTTTTGAGAAGCATCTGTAGCACTTATGAGATTCCTGGGTCTTGAAAGATGCATGTGGTCATGTTACATTGCATCATGAGAGCAAATCTGGCACACCACTGAGTAGCTGGTGTGCAGATCAGAACACCCAGCAGCTCTGCCAGAATTACCTTTACCTAGTGAGGTGACATTTCTCATATGGAGAAATATTGGTGTGCTTAACCAAGTTTGCTACCTGTTTAATTAGAGCAATTAATTCATCAAGCACAAGGAGAGAAAAGGATGACACAGCAAGTTAGCCCTATAGTTGGAAGTGGGTCCCAGATTCCTGGAAGTGTCTACAGGTATAAGATTGACTGTTGGAAAGATTGACTATTCTCCTATCCAGATGAAGTCCATATTTTCCTGAAAGCCAGGCCTTCACTGTTTGCTCTTCTTGGATTTCTTTTTCAGGAACCCAAAGAGCTATCTTTAAGCAAGCAATGAGGCACTGGGAGAAGCACACTTGTGTGACATTTGTGGAGAGAACTGATGAAGAGAGTTTCATTGTGTTCACATACAGAACATGTGGGTAAGTGACACACACATTCCCTGCAGCTATCTGTGTTTCAAACATCCCTTTCATTGACAAATGGTTTTGTATGTCTAGCTCTGGTCAGAATAGACCAATGGCTACATGGGGGAATCTGTCACAGAAATGCATCTCATCACTTCTAGTAAGGATTGCCAGGATAATTTAGTATTTGCTCAGAAGAAGGTGCTAAGTCTTTCTGGATTCTTTTTCCTGGGATAACGCTTAAGTGTGTGTATATATATGTATATGTGCATTTTTATAGATATGCACTTACGTGTTTCCTTTATACATACACACACACACATACATGTAAGTACATATACTGGGTGCAACTTTGGGCTGTCCTGGACGCTGCCAGATGCCGTCTTCTGTTCCTATGTCTCAGACTTCTTTAATTCACTGATGTGCTGCGTGGGTTTGTGGGTTTTCTTTTCCAGATGTTGTTCATACGTGGGTCGCCGAGGAGGGGGCCCTCAGGCTATATCCATTGGAAAGAACTGTGACAAGTTTGGTATTGTGGCTCATGAGCTGGGTCACGTGGTGGGTTTCTGGCATGAGCACACACGGCCTGACAGGGATCAGCATGTCACAATCATCAGAGAAAACATACAGCAAGGTAAAATAGCACTCCAGGTTATTCCACCTGGCTTTTGGGTGGGTGGAAACCTTTCTTGCTGGATTTATGGAAAACCCTAGTGATCTGTGAGCTGAGATGGAGAAGAAGAAATATTGCTAGTCCTTGCCTAGAATAAGAGTCAAAATAGTTGGGTGAATAGAGATTTTTGGATGTCCAGCTGAAATTGTTGGAACATGGGAGTATATCCCTTTCATTCTAGGCTCGCAGAGGTTGAAGACTTCTTTTTTTCTGAGTGATTTGTTTTTCTCCCTTTTTTGTTTGGCATCACAGGTCAGGAGTACAACTTTTTAAAGATGGAAGCTGGGGAAGTGAACTCACTGGGAGAGACCTATGACTTCGACAGCATCATGCACTATGCTAGGAATACATTCTCCAGGTGATAATCCAAGGTTACATGTCCTTAGGACTATTTTCAGTAGTTGTGATTGGCTCTGTGGGATACATGGAGCCTAGAAGGAGACCTGTGATCTGTTGCCAAGGTATATGGCAGTTGCAGTGAGCTCTGCTGCATTGGAAAGCTTGAAAAATATTTGAAAAAGCAAGGTAGGTCAAGAGAAGTATGGCAGACTCCTGTTTTCCCCTCCCCACTATATTCACCCAGTGCTGATAATCTCAGAGACCTTCCAAAGCCATGTTAACATGTTTTCCAACCTTCTCAGGCAGCACGTATATATGTGTGTGCATAGCTGCCCACATGCAAGGAGGGTAATGCTAAAACCAGCTTTGAATCTGTTGGTTGTCCAGCTCATGCTTTAGAGTCACAATATTGCCTTCAGAGTCCCTAGCAACTTTGCTGAGGGAGAATTTAAACTCTAGATTGTGATCTTAAATTACCTGGGTATTTCTTTAACCATTTATGCATGTGCTTTACATCATGGCCTCTGCAGCTCTGCGATTCTGTGTGACTGCGTTCTTCATGACAACGTTTTCAGTCCTGTTCCTGTCCCAACTAACTGGCCCATTTCTGTGTAGGCTATTTGTCCTTGACTCCAAACTCATCCCTCCAGATGGAGCCCATTTTCTGATCAGACAGCTCTACTGGATAGAGAGGTGAAATGAACATAGTTAGTTATGTCCTGGATTTGGAGTGAGAGTTACTGGATGACCGCCTTCATTTTGCTGCATTATTTGAAATTTTTTCCATAGATCCCACTATTGCTCCTTCCCAAGAGCTTTCCTTCACGACATACCATGAGTAAAGGGGATGGAAGGCAGAGCGCAAATATTCATACTCTTGAGAACTTTTGTTGCAAAAATTAAAGGTGTCTTTTTGCTTTTTAAATTTTCTTACTACCCAGTTGTATGGAAATGCCAAGCCTATTGTTTTGTGCTTTTGTTTCTGAAGCTTCATGTCAACCAGGGGAAAAATTATCAAACTTGCTGAAATGCTGCTTGTTCGGGCAGGAGATGATGGCTGGGCCAGGGTGCTTTGCAGCCTTCAGAGATTTCTTTGGATCAGATACCCAAAGCAAACAATTTTTCTTCCTTTGAGGCATCTGCTGGACCCTTCCAGCATTTGCTAGACTCTAAATGGTTAGAATTGTCTTGCACAAAAGCAGGATTAAGTTATTACCGCCATTTATATTGTGGATGTCTTTGAGTCTGTGTCTCTTGAAAACCAGGGTCCTTCAGAACACTGCTGGGCCAAAAAGGGATAAAAATGGCAAGAGTCCTTCTAAATTTAAATTGGTGCTTAATAGGATTTTTAAGTCTGTTTTCTTTAAGCCCTTTGTCTCTGTGACCCACCCTCACCCCAGTAGCAGTCTTTGTGCCGTAATTGAACTGAGCACTAAGTGCCTCTGTGGGCTGATTTTGCTCTCACTGTAAATAGGCAGTGCTGGGAACAGGCTTTTACTTTACCAAGACCTGTCTTAACATCTGCTCCCCTAAGGGAACGATGCTTACTTTGACCAATCAGCAGAGATTTGTGAGTGTATGCATGTCTCCTTCCTACCTTATTGAGTTTTGTGAGTGCTGGCTGATTGCAACCCAAACTGACAAAAGCATAGAGCCTGTGAAGATACTAAGTTCCAGCAAGTTTCATTAAGATCAGTGGCTAGGAATGGGAGAGAGCCCCTGCATGACTGTGTGAGGGAAGGGCTGTAGTGGGTGTGTTAATACATTAGCAGACACTAGAAAGTCCACATAGGAAAAAGATGGTATGAGTACCCCACCAGCAGAGCTGGTGTGTGTATGTGAGGAGGAGGTGAAGGACACAGAGCCATGTCTGCGACTTATTGTCTTGAACCAAATCTTACGTGGCACTTAGCACAACCTTGTTGTTTATAACTCCTGTGAATGCTGATGATAGCAAATCATATGGTGTTTGCCATGGTCAAATGCTGCTACAAACCTTGGGCCCTTTTTATTCTAAACTTTGTACCTAGGACAGAAAGGGACAGTTTTTCTGAGACAGTGAGTCCTAGCAGTGGAAATTGTTTCCAGTGGTGCTTTTGAAAATTGCTGTAGGAGTCACTCCCCATTTTCAGTTCGCAGCAAAACATACTTCTCATTTGCATCTGTGGCTAGTAGGAATAGGAGTATGGCACAAGAGACTGTAATGACAGCAGTAACAGGTTCCAGAAATGGGAATTTCTGTTCTTGTCTATGTCAGAATGTTGCCTGTTTTGCAGAGTGTGGCTGCAGGCTCTGATTTCCTGGTGCATTCCTTACAGACATGGCAGCAAATAAAATTTAATATTGCCATATCATTAAACAATTTCTTTTACAGCTGTCAAGACCCATAAATGGCAGCTTAGTGATAAGAAAGTTTAAACCTCCACAGAGCCCTAAGCAAATAGCGGGTTACCTTAATTCACTAAGCCTCTTGCTAGCTGACATGGCAGCACAGCCTGGAGTTACAAAACATGACCTCTGCAAAGCTTGTGTTCAAATCACGGGGCAGGTAGCACTACCTGCATGTCAAGGGGCATATTCTTGATGTGTTTGCAACACACCATCCTAATCCTGCACAAGACATATACACATCCTCCACAGCTTTTACTGTGTGAAGTAGAGTTATGTTGTCTCTCTTCTGCACATGGGGATATAAATACAGAGTTGGGACAAAATGTAGCTGCCTGCAGCTGAGTGCTTAACCTGCCATGAATATCTGCTTCCTTGAGTGGTGTTTAAGCACCTGTATCTATTGCTCTCAGATGGGACAGTGAATGTTCAGCATTTCTCGAGGTTGGTTGATAATTTCATAATGTTTCCATGACGAGCTACACATTCAGGGTACTATGCAGATGCTAATGACTCTTGAGAGTATCTCTTCTCAAACTCTCTTGTTCTTAGCTGGTAGAAATGGTGGGTTGTTGTGCTTGACTTACTGCTGCCTGGACAGCAGGAGAATGGGGCATCCAGGATTCCTGGGTTCTTTCCCTACCTCTGGGAGGAGAGGTTAGGCATCTTATTCAAGAATCGTTCTGGTGTTAGAGTTCCTGAACTGCTCTGTTTAATGATGTCTGCTTGGTGTTTATTAATTTGTGAGCCAAAGTATTGGTGCTCTTAGAGACACCAAACGTGCAACTTAAACATCATAAGTGTTGTTAAGCAGATGGGGTTTGGGTGGACAGTATGGAACTGCTGGGACCTGTGTGGTTTAGGCTAGAAAGACTCTTCTCTGTTCTCAGTTTCTTTGTAAAATGAGAGGAACTATACTTACTGCCTCCTAATTTGCAGTCACGTTTAGCAATGTATGTGAAGGGAGTAAAAAGTTCAGTTGGTGGAAAAAGCAAAACCAGAAATCTTACTGCCCCAACCTAGGGTACAGCCTTCTGGAAGAAAAATGTGTTTGGCAGGTAATAAGGGTAATTTGAAGTTGTGGGTTGTTTGCATTGTGTAAGCAATACCCTAGGTGTATGCTGTGTGCAGAAGGCTGGGGGCTGTGAGTATGTAGTCGTGAGGGCTGGAATGGGAAAAAGAATGAAAAGTTTGTATGTGCAAGTGGTGGTTTCTCTATTAAATGTTGTCATTCTTCCCTGGTTGAGCCTGGAGATCTGCCTAAAACATTTCACTGGCCACAGAAGTATGTTTCTGCCAAATGCCGAGTTCTTCTGTGAACTCCTGAAGAGGCTTGAAAACCTACTGTGAGCAAACCAACCTGTTTCTCTGTTTATGGTATTTCTGGAATTGGAGGATTTATTTTTGGTACATAAACTTAAGTAAATTCAGCCAGAGGCATGCAGCTCGCATGTAGAATGCCAGCCTGAATTTGCTAATCAAAATTTGATGGGCTCACCTCAGAGCTTCTAAGTACCGATTTTGGTGCTGATCAGGAATTTTCCTACCACTGAAAAAAAACCAACATACCCCATGCAAGAGTTGATTCCAGATTTTAAAACAGATTAAATTCCTTCCCCTCTATTTCTTCCTTCAGTTTGAATATTTACAAAATAATTTTCCCCCACAAAATATTTTTAATAGAATGATACTTTCTGTTCAAGAATACTGACTGCAGCTCTGGACAGCTGTGATCCAAATACTCTGCTTGCAGTATTTATTTAAAATTAAACCAGTGCAAAAAAACCCCAAACCCCTCTCAAACTCCTTCCCAAGGCTCTTATGCAGCTGAGCAGCCCAATGAACAGAATTACATGTGTACTTAGAGCTTAACCCATACTTGAAGACTCTTGTATCAGGACTAGGCAGCACTAAAATTATTGCCCTGATTTCCCATTGGATTCTACAGACAGATGTATCCTGTCCTTCAGAAAGAGAAGCCTGCCTCACTGAGCTGATGCTGAAGTTTTAAGCTCACTGTTATCCTTGGCACCTCCAAGCCTGTTAAGCATTCAGGGGTGCAGTGAAATGGTTCCTGCAACTGGACAGCCTGGCCATGAGAGCTTGGACTTTACCAACCTGGAGTTCAGGTTTCTGATTCCTCCCTCCCTCTTTAGCCCTGCAGTCTTAATGCTGCCTTGGGTCTCTCTTGCATGCAAGCTCTTGCTTGGATGCATGGACTTTGCATTTTTATGGAAGTGAGGCCTGAGCTTGAATCCTTTACTGGACTGAGATCAGAAGTGCAGTAGAGAGCTCCTGAGTATGACGTACCACATGGAAGAAGTAGTGGTGAGGAAAAAGAGGCAGAGACAAGTGCAGTTATTAGCTTGGAAACTCATGCAGAAGCAAGGTAGGGCACTTGATCTTTTTCTCTTGTCTGTGGCAACTGCAGTCACTGCCAGCCCAGCCCCATCAGCTACTGAACAAACTCCCCTTCCCTCTGCAAATTTGGCTTAAGCGTCCACTGTACTCCTGCTGAGCCAGATGTGCCATGAACCTTCTGCAAGAATATTTCATTGCCTTTTCTGATTTATGGCAAGGAATGTGTCTATACTCAAACAAAGGCAGCAGCAATCTTGATATATCAAATGAGGAATTTACTGGCTTGGCAGACTTGCCTGTACATTTGGAAGCTATCTGCTATAGCGAGAAGGCCACCTCAAGACATGCAGTTATCACAATCTGCATTACTCTTGCTTGTTAGCATGGGATATATGGTCAAGGGGATGGTGTGGGAGGCCTGCCAGGATGACTTTCTGTGCATCATGTCACTTTCCCTACTTCACTGCTCTTTATCTCTCTGTTCTTCCCTTTAGAGGGGTTTTCCTCGACACCATCCTTCCCCGTCGTGATGATAATGGGGTCCGGCCAACTATTGGTCAGCGTATTCGCCTGAGTCAGGGGGACATCGCTCAGGCGAGGAAGTTGTACAAATGCCCAGGTAAATATGGCTTGTGGAGATGGCTCCAGCTTTATTGTAGACACATGGTTTATCTGGAAGGCATTGGAGTTCAAGAGCACCTTAATTATCCCTTTGGTGAAAGAGAATTAGGAAAGTTAGACCATCAAATGCTTCAGACTGGAGCTGTGGGAGAATTGAACTTGCCTAACATGCATCTCCTGTTAGTATTTTGCTGGTATTCCAGTTTGGTTTAGGGCTTCAGGTTGGTCCAGTGTAGGCTCTGTTCATAGAAAATGAAATCGATGTACAAGACCATGGACAGAGTGGGGACTAGTAGCTAGCAAAGTGGCAGACGGTTATCTGGTAGACTGGAGTCACTACACACCAACTATCAAACTTCTCTTGAGTTATTTCTATAGTTGTTGTCCCAGAGATGAGCCTTAAGGAAACCATAAGTATATCTCTGTGATTATGGCATGTGGCCCTGAGGCTTGGAAGACAACATGGAAGAAAGCTCAAAGATGCTGATTTGTGAAACAACCAGGTGCTGGAAGCTGGTGCTTTGGGCTGTTCAGGGGAGGGCTGTATCACTCTTTCTGCTGCCAAAGGGTTGATAGACTGGGAACAGCTTTGACAGAGAACCCATCTCCATGTGTATGACATACTAAAGACCTATAGTCTGAGTCCTGCTTTGTGTGGGGTCTGAAAAGATTGGAAAAAAGAGCATTGGGGTCACAGATATGACTGGGAGACTAAAGTTACCCATCAAAACAAAAGGATCCTTTTAAAGTGGAGATGTTAGTGACAGTTTATGCAACAGTTTTAGCCGAATACGTTAATAGAGAAAACCAGATTTCAGAGAAGCAATCTGCCGTACTTAAGGACAGGTTGAATGTGAGGATGTAAAAAGAGGCTTCAAGCAAAGGTGACACCCAGTCTGGTGCCTGTGGCATGGACTGCAGTGACTGAGAAGCGAGATAGCATGGGAGGTGTGATACTTGGAGGTAGAAAATTTAACAAGCTCTGTTGAATTTCTGCAGGTAATGAAACATCCATGAGAAGATATTGGAGAATGAGAGAGCTGCCCCGATTTTGCAGAATGACTCTGTAACATTTGTAGTAATGCAGGGAGGAAAAAAAGGGCTTTTGCAAGCATGGCCCAGGAGTTTATCTAAATGGGTTGGTCTAGCCAGCTTATTGGTCCAGTTAAGAGTGGCTTTGATCATAAACCTAATATAATCATAAATGGTTAATCCTCTTGGAATAAGCATATCACAAGAGAGAGGGGAGAAGGTGAGGAGGAGGGATAAGTTCTACCAGTATACAGAGTCACATCTTAAGTGACTGTTTGGCTAGCACTGCTCTGTGAACCATTCATGAGGCCATGGAAAATGGTCGATAGCTGGTGTGCAAATCCACTTCTCTGTATCCAGCTACAGGTCAGAGAGTATGGGTTCATAAGGCTCTAGAATAAATTCTGAGGACTTCAGGGTCTGGGATGTGTGGGGATCCCTGCTTAGCTTATAGTGAGTGGTATAACTTTCTTAGGTGTGCTTGTTCTAATTAACTTTCTTTTTTCTTTTTACCACTTGTAATTTTCTCTAATTTGCTTTTGGTTGAACAAGATGTAGTTCTTGGAAAATCATCTCACGGATTAGTTTAGGGATTGGTTTGTTTCAATACTAAAAAAAAAAAAAAAATTAGGGATGTCATGCACCATGTTTTTTGATTGAGGCAGACTTAATCCAAGCAGGCTTTTCATTCCCCTAGCTGGAAGCATCGACTACAGATTCAGATTTCTCAAGGCAAGCTGAAAAGCCACTTTGGCCTGAGGTTAAAGTCAAACTAAAAGCTACAAAGCAACTTTCTTTAAAATGAGGACCCTTCTGAATCTCACGTTTTCTACTTGCAAAGTAGAACTTTTCTACTTTTAAAGTTTTTTTCCTCAAAGCTTTAGTTGAGGTTATTGCAGTTCAGAACATACTTGGCAGCAGAATGATTAGAGCTTTAAGCCTACTAAACAAATTTTCTTCAAATATCTATTGGTTTGGTTTGGTTTTCTTTTTTTCTATGCATCAAAATTTATACACAGATTGCATTTGAAGAGAAGGGCTGGAGTATATTTAGTGACATTAAATCTTCAGCTGCCATTTGAATCTGTGGCTTGAAAAGTTCTCTTTCTCTGCACAATGCAAAGCACAGAAGTTCAAAGGACTTAAGTTGTATGTTCAAGCAGGGTCTGAATGAGACTTTAGGTTGAGGACAACTTTGTTCAGTAGTCAAGCTGAGGATTTTTAGGTAAAATGCGATAACATAATCCAGAAGTTGAATGGCAGATGGCTTCCCTTTTAGAAAGAGAGTCTCCACCTGAGAATGCCTGAGAAAATCCCCCGCAAAAAAGAGGTAGCGTGGTGGAGGATGAGTTACAAGCATGCACTGTTACGAGCCAGAACAACTGCTGTGTCTGTTGTAAGAAACAGGGCTCTCCAGCTCATTAGACTGGAGCTCTTGTGGCTGCTACAGTTAGGGCTGGCTTAGCTTTTCCATTCTAAAACCCTGCTGGTTTAAATTGCTCTTAATTCCCCAAAGCTTGTACCTGCTGGGTTAAAGTTAGTGCCAAGCCAGGTGAAACTGAATGAAATTTGCTGAAGGAATTTCTGGAAGGCAAGATGCATTCTGCTACATAGTAGTAAATGCTAGATTTGTTATGGCTGCGTGGTTGAGGATTTGATGAGTATAGTCACTACAAAAGACTTTAAAACAGTGTGTCCTGCTGTCTTGTGCTGTGCTAAAGGAAACAGGCCTGTGTGGGTGTGCTAACTGTGCAGGAATGGTTAAGCTATAAATTGAGAATGGTACTGCATTATATCAACCCATCCAACTCTCTGTGCATTTTCAAAAAAAGATGTAGTGTACCAGTAACCAGCTGATGAGCAGTAAGTGCCTGTCACTCAACTACTTCATTTACAAATGACTTCTGAAGCATTCACCTTTTCTTCTTTGCTTTCCGCCTGTTCCTTTCTAGCTGCTTATGTGTGCAACAGCCTCTTCACCATGGGCAAAAACCAACTCATCTCAGTTTCTTGGATCCCAGAAGTACCAAACACTAGTCTTATTGGACCTGTTGGCTTCTTTGCTACTAAGTGGAGTACAGTGGTATTGCTTTTTGGTGTGCACTGCAAGAGATTGTGCTCTACACACAAATATGTGTTGCTTGTTATTATTGTGCTTCCCCCTGCACGTGTGAGCAATCGCTCTCCTCTGCGCTGAAAGGCCAGCCTCTCCCCAGGTGTCTGGAGAGTTTCCTCTGCAGTTTGGATGGTTAGCTAGGTCTCCTTTCATGATGTTTTAGCAGAGTAGTGTTTGGTAATAGATATGTTAGTACCTGTTCCATAATTACACAGTCTTGCCAGGAGCTGTGTAATTACACTTAGGAGAGTTCAGTCTGGGCTGTCAGAAACCTTCACTGGGGTTCAGCTGAGGGCGGTAATTCTCTTTGTCCTGTGTCATTATGGTCATGTAGTATGTGTTCCCAGCGATTTAGAGCTCTCCTTATCATTCCATATTTGTTTAAATAGATTTTTGAGCAGAGAAAAAGAACATTTATTTATCTTGATAAGTTATGGGTTGGAATCCCCTCTTTATTGGGACACCTTGTCAGATGTTGGCATTCCTAGAGCCATCCTAAGGTGGTGGCCACTCCAGACCATGCACTGACCAGTGGTGATGCCAGAGGGTCAGCTGAAGAATGGCTTGCTGTCCTCAGAATAAGTATGGCTGGGACTCAGCTTGTTTGAGAGGTTTATCTGCTGGGGCAGCATGCATTTCCTGGTTGAGGGTCCTAGGAGCATCCTGGGAGCTGGAATTATCCTAACAGATTCTGACACAGATAACCAGGCAAAGCATCTTTGCAAGAAGTAGAAAGGAAGAAAGTGTATTTATTCTGCAAATAGAAGTTCAGATTTCTTCTCCAGTTCATGCAGGTCATCACCTTTTACAAGCATCTCTGTCTGCCCACCTGAAGAATACAGACAGCATCACCTGCCAAACATTTTGGGAGATCTGGGAGGATATTAGCTATTTCTGCAGAATTGAAACTAAAACTTGCTGTACAATGCTCCTTTGTAGTTGCATAATGGTAGGGGGAGTTCTCAGGGCTCAAAACTGCTTGAGAAGGAAGCAGCAATGTAGAGGTTTTGATCTTTCATTTCTTTTCTTCATTCCTCTGGGTCAGATGTGTGCATTTACCTGCCTGTTTTGCTCAGTGGTGCTTTTTTTCCTAGTAGTTTAAAATACCTTTGGCTTTTCTGACAGGAATCACTTTGCCAGATCCCATGCTGACCTGTGCATTGATATATGTCCAACTTGTTCCTAGGAGTGACTCCACCTTCCAGAGCACCCCTATGAGCTGTTTGGCTGGGCAAACCCCTTTTTGTGTCCCTGCCTATTGTTCATCTAGTCTGATCTGTCAAGCTGTGGATCAAACTACTTCAGGGAAATTAAGAAATTCTGGCCTAGGTGACTCCCTCTCCCCCTTTTGAAGTTATTAAACTTTTTGAATGGAACCAGTCTCTTTTCACCTCCAACTTCCGACCCGCCCATCTAAATGTAATCATGGCTGAAGAATTAGTGAGTGTGTGATAGCATCAGGCAGAGGAACATCCCTTGGCATTTCCATGAGAAAGGGAGCCAGATGTTCGGCCTTGTCGGATCTTTCAAAGCACTGCTACTTAATGAGGGATTTTTGGGAGCTGCCTTACCATCACTGAGGAAACCAAGTAAAGTAACAGGTCAAGGGCAGCTTTATAACATCAGCAGGTTATGAAACTGGAAAACAACGGGAAAGCAGGCAAACCAAGGTCCCTGCTCCTTGCAATAGGTATTTGCAGGTGTCTAGTGAGCACTCTGAAGAAAATGGGAGCTTTGATATTTGTGATCCTCCCACCTAGCCAGTAGCTGCTCTGCAGATGTAGATGGTCACTCCTTCTTCCAGCTCAGTCGTCCTGGCTCAGAGAGCAGGAACTACAGTAGTCACGGCTTTCCCAGATGTTGGAAGCTGCAGTTCCCTAAAGGAGCATATGCGCGTGCATATTACTTGCTTCCCAAGTCGCTCTGCGATCTACATTTCATCAACTGCAGCAGGCCACAAAAACGGGAAGGTGGAGAGCAGAGTGAGCTGCAGTGCTCACGTTTTATCCTGCTCAGTGTGACAGCAGGGTAGGTGCTGGACAGCCAAAGCATGAGGGCAGTGGGGCTTGCCCTGCTTTTGTTAGGATGTTTTAACTCAGAAAAAAGACACTTAACAATGGTAACTAAGGAAAACTTCATTGAGCAGCTTGTAATGAAGGGAAAACAGATTGGCTGGCAGCAGTCTTGGTGTTGTGAGGTAGGATGGGGTTAATATTTTGCATTTGATTAGTGGATAAGATATTCCTCAGTAGGATTGAAATGTGCAAGTGCTGGTGTGTGGAAGGAAGATGAAGGAAGAAGAGTGCCTCTTTAAAAGCTGTTTCCCCTGTGTCCTTGCACTGCTCATCTATCCTGGGAATTGTGACAAATTTCACATCACCCCTTTGGCAGGGTCTCAGGTGGTCAATGACCTTTGGCCAGTACCATGAACGAACATCCTTAGAGTACCAGCCACCAACCTGCACACAGCAGCTGTGTGCAAACATTTTGGTAAACCCCGATGTCTTTCAGAGAGTCACTCCTTGTTGCTGGGGTTTTTTTCCCTGTCTCCTGCAGCTTGTGGAGAGACCTTGCAGGACTCAACAGGGAATTTCTCAGCCCCTGGCTTTCCAAATGGCTACCCCTCCTATTCCCACTGTGTCTGGAGGATCTCGGTGACCCCAGGAGAGAAGGTAGGTGCCACACCAGCACAAGGTGTGCTCTGCACTTCCCTTGCATGTGTTTTGCCTGTGATGGCAGTGTTACCTGCTGCCAAAAGATCTCTGCATGCCTGGAGTGCAGGGGTGGAGCCTGAAAAGGCTCCTGAGCACCATCGCTGTCCTCCCAGAGATGGGGCCAGGAATACATGGTCCTGAGGAGAGGAGAGGTAATGCTGGAGCAGAGCCCCCTCGCAGGTCCAGGCTGCGTGTTGATCACTGATCCTTCCTCCCAGTTCGAGGCTTGAACCCTGCACGGACATTTCCTGCTACCCACTAGCTCCGGCCAAGCTCACCTTTCAAAGCCAGGTGCCAGTCACATGAGTTAGATAAAATGTGCCAGCAAGCTGGGGTCCCAAAGGGAGCTGAGGAGCCGTGAGTGACATCAGTGGCCTGCCCCTGTCACGCAGGCATAATGTCCCTGTCAGGAGACTCCCACTCCCCGCCTTGAAACACCGAGCCCTGCTGCGCATCAATCACCCATCCTGTCCACTTTCTTCCCAGCTCCTTTTGTTTTATTGATCTTCCTGTGGAAATGAAGTCTTTCCTTAATCCACTAACACCAGCCGTTCAGGCCTTTCATGCTGTACCAGGCTGCAAGAATGTGCAGCCTGACTTGGGAGCTCCTCGACGGGGTGGCTTTGCTGAGGACCACCCTCGAGACACACTTAAGACTCGTACTTGAAGAAAGAAGAACAGAGCTTGGTCGTTTTGCAGCAGCCATCTTCCAGGAGCTCTGGGACTCGGTTCTGTCACCTGCAAGGCCAGTCCCATGCAGGGCTGAGCTCCTGCCATTAGCTGCAGGGAGAGCTTTGCCAGGGGCAGAGGTGCCAAGAACCTTCCAGGTTTTGAAACTATGGCACTGAGAGTTTTGCGGTGTAAATCTTACTGTTAAATTCTCCCTTTGTCTCTCAGCCTCTTCAGAAAAGTTGTATCGGATAGGACCCAGCGTCTAAATGCTGAACCACTAATGTTAAAAAAAAAAAAAAAAAGTCAAGTTCAGATTAAATGCTTCAACTTATCTGTTTGATCAAATGCAGCAGTTGGTACAAAGTAGCATCATAGCACTGAGGCATTAGCTTAGAACAGATATTGGGCTTGTAGTATTAATCTGCATAGAAACAGATGAACCTCCTTTTGCTGTCCAAAGTCAGAAAACTGCAAAAGTGCAAACAAAATAAGTGACATCGTTACAGACTGTACTTTGCATATCCAGCCAGGGCTTTGCAGGAGAATATCTATTTTAATCTAATGACATTTCTGTGGCAGACTACAGATGTAAATTAATACATGGGTCAAATCTTGCAAGGACAAAAATGCCACAATTACCCCCCATCTGTGACTTCCATAGGCCCAGAGCAAGGTCTGTAATCTATGTTACAGAGGAAGGAGACCAAAGGGATAAAATTTTAATGCTAAGCTCTGCTCAGTAAAGCCACTAAACACAATTGCATCACAGTAATGGTGTGAGTGTAATTGTCAGAATACGGAAACTTGTCAGCAAAATTATCTTTCTTACAAGCATCATTTATATAAGGGTATAGACCCCAAATATCTGTGTTTTGGGGCAATGTGTTTCTCTCTGTTGTTCACAGTAATCAAAACCAAAGATTCAATTTTTAATTTAAAAAAAACCAAATTGGGCTTTTTTAAAGTAGCGTTTTAGCAACTGAGGAGCAGTGACTGTGAATTACAGAATTGATAGTAAAGTGCTGTCAGCTGTCATGTATTTTTTTCATTTCATTAAAATACCTTGAGAAGTCTTTCTTTTTTTTTAGGAAAGTTGATTAAAAAATCCAACCAACTGTCCAACTGTCCTTTCTTGCATACTCACTTGGTCAGCACTGTAGCAGAGGTGAAGCACATAATCTGTAGGGTATTCTCTTTAAAGTAGCTGCCTTCCCAAAGAGAAGTGTGTACTCTCTCCTTTCAGATTATGTTAAACTTCACGTCAATGGACCTATTTAAAAGTCGCCTTTGCTGGTATGATTATGTGGAGGTGCGTGATGGCTACTGGAGGAAGGCTCCATTACTGGGTGAGTAGCTCTTTCATTTTAATTGCATTTCATGTGTTCTTCTTGATGCTTAGCAGAGTGGGGAGGGAAAACAAACAGAAACAAACCTTCCTTTGCCTGGAAGAAGCCTACGTCCAGCCAGTGCACTGGCCACCCATTAAGGTCTCCATCCAGAGATGTCAATGTGCTGTATTTGCACCAAATGATCCATGCTCCAAGCCCTTTGGTAGCAAAAGCTTTATTCCTTCCTTTTCCGGCTTGAGAAGTGAGGCAGAGAGGCAAGTGAGCCAGGGGCATGGCCAGGACTAAAAATGTGGTCTCTGGAGTTTTATTATTGCTTTTTCCTAAGGCCAGGGTGGAACTGTCAGGCAGTCAGAATGAAGCAGCCATACAGCTCCTGGCCAAGCTCCTGCCATTATTTCTCAAGTATTTGTGTTTAAGCCTCTGTACTTCTAGGAGAGAACTTGCTAGAACATGCCTAGGATGTCACACTGTGCAAGGGCTCTACTTTGCTCCTGCTCCCAAAGATCTCAAGGAAGTGTAGCTCCTCTGTGTCCTCCCTGTTCCTCTGCCTCCTTTTACTGTAACTGCAAGTCTTCTGTCACCCTGAGTGGGCACTCAGGAGTCCCACCTGCTTTGCTGCTGGCTCTGATCCGGACTCCATCCCCTAACCTTGGTGTCCAACCTGTAAAATGCTGCACTGCAAACAGCCCCTTCACCCTGAAAGGAAAGAAGCAATCAGGTTGTTTAGCATCACCAGCTGTGTTAGAGGTGCTGTGCCCCGTGCTGCAGCACAGGACTGGGCTAGTCAGCGTGGGGTCAGTGGGCTTAGGGAGGTCTGGGTGCTCTCCTTGGCCCCACTGGACATCCCAGCCCTGGTACCAGGTGAGGTGCTGAGGCTGAACCTGTGCTGCTCTCCAGAGGTTTCTGCGGGCCTGCCTTTCAGCACAGAGTTGCCAGCTGCTTTTACTGCTTCCTGCTTGTTTGGGGCTTGGCAGCATTTATTGGTGTTTTCTGCTGCACATGCATCAGGTAACATTGCTCCAGCAGCTGCAACTTAGCTCCTTGTTATTTATTTTTTCTACAGAATAATTTAAAGGTATTTCAGAAGCCAAGCACCTCCCCATTCCCCTTAGCGCAGGTGGACTTGCGAGTGTTTCCATCTGGAATACATGTGCGCTGCATATTTTCCCAGGGAAGTGTGTGAAAACCCAGCCTTTAAACAGTGTGTAACTTTTTATGAATGGTTCCTTTATCACACGCTGAGGACATTGCTCATTCTTGTTCCTCATCTGCGTTTCCTCTCCTTGACACCCTTGTTAAACTCCAAGTCTAAATCCGGGAGGCAGTTGCTCAGTGGCCCTAGAGGAAGGAGTTTTGCAGCTCTGATGCTGTTTGTTATCATCCCCTGTGGGAGTGGAGGTGGGAGATGCTATTGGTACGCTGCAGGGCTGTCACACTGCCCCAACAGTGCTGGTCAGCTTGGGGGCACAGGGGCTCAGAATAGAGTAGCCAAGTAAAACTAGGGTCCCAGTTAGTATTTGGATGGGTGACTCCACAAGAGAAAAAAGTTGGTGGTGAAACTGCTGTTAAAGAGAAACGAAGTTTGCAACTCACCTTCTGATTTACGCTGACTGGCCTGTCACAGAGGCATAGCTCTTGCACCCTTGAAGGTCATAGCCTTCCTGAGGCTGCCAAGTGGTGAAGATGGGGCAGGTAGAGCCAAAAGTGGCAGTAGCTGAGCGTGGGCAGTTGACCTAGCAGGGGCCCCTAGGCTTTTAATGCACAGGATTCATGTCAACTACTCTGCCCCCCATACATAGGGAAAGCAACAGCCTTCTCTGCCTGCCAGGCAACAAGCCTTGAACTTATCTGTCTCCTTATTCAGTGTAGGGAACTACCAGTGCAGTCTCCTAATGGGAACTAAGGTGCTGTCTTGTAGATAAGGCATTAACCAGGTTTTTACATGGTGAGGTTGGTCAAAGAAGCCTTTGCCTGGTGTTGCAAGGCCAGGATCCCTATCATCACTGTCCTGACTGAATTCAACCTGAGGAAGTGCTCTCTGCCTCTTGTCAGATTCCCACTGGGGATTCAGTTGGACAGGGTGCCAAGGCCACATTGAATTCAGTATATAGCCCTGCTGGTGTTAGCTGAAGTGAAAAACCGTGTTTGCACTGAGTGCTTTCAGTGCATAGTTGGTGCTTGCTTTGTTTCCATGAGGAGCTTCTGGCTGGAACCGGTAGAGGAACACCAAATTAGGGTTGCTGAAGTTGTTTGGGCTGCAGATGCTATCTGCAGCTGTTCTGTTTTAGGATTCATCCTTGCTGGCATGATTTGGGTATTTACCAGTGCTGGTGCATGCCAGAGAGCTCAGAGCTGGGTGAACCATGGAGCAAAAAGGCTCTTAGTCTCTTTCTCCTGAAAGAGATTGAATGACTACAGAGGCTTCACTGGGAGGAGGTGAGAACAGGGGACAAGATAAGGGGTGTTTTCTCACCAGCATGGCCACATCCCACCCTTGGTTTAACTTGGACAATTTGCTCTTGGGTGCAAAATGCTGAAGGAGTTTACAAGGCCTAGCAGGTGGAAAGGATGTTCCCTAATGTCACATCTCTAGAAGGACAGGGGATGGTTCCCCACCCTTGCAGCTTATTTGCCCAATTATGTGATCAGAACAAGAGCCCTTTTGAATTTACCAGGGCAATAAAGGCTGCACCTGTGACTACTGGATGCTGCTCTCAGCTGAAGAAAACCTTTATTAATTTAATAATTGAAGAGAATATTAATTAAGGGGGGGAATAGAAACTCATTCAAAAGCACAAGTGGTGGGAGTGAAAGGCTGTTTTACACAAGCACAGCTCCTTTAACCCCAGAGTCTTTGCTTCCTGGACCCATAGGTGCCTGCTATGCTGTGCTGCCGGTCAGCCAGGAGATCTTGATCGTCTCTTTCCTGCCTTCTAGGTAGATTTTGTGGTGACAAGATCCCTGAACCAGTAATCTCCACGGACAGCAGGCTGTGGATCGAGTTCCGGAGCAGCAGTAACATCCTGGGCAAAGGCTTCTTTGTGGTCTATGAAGGTACAGCCCTTAGTTAGAAGCAGTCTGTTGCGTTCATTGCACGGAGCAGCCAGAACACGATGCAGGGGTTTACAGGGTCAGCAGGAGTTCTGCTTCACCGTGTGGTTAGATACAGCCCCTGCTCTTGTTTTTATGGGAATTGGCGGATTTTGCAGGCCGTTTCAGCAGACAAGGCATGGATCTTCCAACTAGATCATCACATTTTGGGGGAGACAACAGGATGGCAGCACAGAGCAATAGCTTCCATTCATAGGCTAGATTCTGTTTGCCCTAAGCAGTCCCTGCAAGCAGCAGTGCTGAGTGTAGCAGGAGTTCCTTCCAGTAATTTAACAGGGAAAGTTCTGTTTCAGATCATACATTTTATATCACTTAATGCAGCTTATTTTGTTGTTGTTGTTGGTTTTTGGTTTTTTTTAATTCTCAAATGCAAAGATTGTTCTTTGGTTTCTCCCTTATATGTTTCACTTACAGAAGATTAGAAATTGGCATGTCAGGTCTTCTGCAGGTCAGGTACTTTGGAAACTTGCATGGTACTGGGATGCTGAAACCACTTCAGAGGAGTAGCCATACTACCAAATCAGTAACATCCCTTCACCATATATGCTTACTTTTTACAATAATGATTCTAAAATGTATTAAAAGCCTTCACTGTTCTCTGGGTGACAGACATTTTCTTAGAAGTACCAGTGCTGTCAACAGTATTGAAGTTGACTGTATCGGTACTGACGTTGCATCATCTTCTTTCTGCAGCCACAGGAACAAACATGACACTGGAAGCCCAGTGCCCAAGTGTCCAATATACTCATGAATAATGATATTAACAGGGAAGTGAAGAAAATACAGGACTGTTAGGGATATGCAAATAAAGCACATGAGGATTTCATAACAGTGTGGGGCTAACAAATCTGTTTCACAGGAGAAATACCTGGTTTCTGCAGGAATTGTTGTCCCGGAGACAGAGGTACCTTGCCTGATTTTTTTTTTTTTTTTAACATCTCTCCTGAGCAGCAGCTGTTGCCTGGACCATGTGTGTCATAACACCCCCTTTATGGTAGTTTGTTGGAGTTAGAAGTGATCAAACTAGTGTGTCTCTAACAGACTGTTTTATTTTGGTTTATTGCTTTGGTGGGCTAGTCAGCTTAATTCTTACAGTGGGTTATTCCACAGTGGTATCTACTCAAACTTTAAAAGAAAAAGAAGAAAAAGCAAGGTGAGGAGTGTCTTTGGAAAGCAACTTTGTTGTTTTTCATCATGTGTGTTAATATGGGATCATGCTTCATATGGCTAACGATATTGAAAGAAAAAAATTTTTTACATTGGCTACATGCCAAAGTCACTTCGCAAAACTTTCTTTTCTCTTGATAATTTTCCATATTTCCTGTTGATTGATAAATGACCCCTAAAGGTTCAGTAAAAGTGAGCAATAGTTACTTCACTTGACTTTCAAGGAGAGCAAATGGAAGTGGAATGTGCATCTAGTGGTCAAACTTTGCATCCCTTCTACTGTTCATATTTTCCTGCCTCTTCAAGACTCTGACTTTTTATGTAACCCTTTCCTTCAAGAAACTTCCCATTGGAAAGGTATGAAAACTATGGCTAAACCTGTGAGCAAGCACGGAGTATGACTGGTGGAAGCCAGCTTGTACCACAGAAACAGTGATGGCCCATTGCATAGTTCTTTTCTTAGCTCCTCTTGTCAGGGCAGCAGGTAGTGAGATTATCTGCATCTCTCTCCATAATTTATTTGCTGAAATGGGAGAGTTTCCAAAAATCTTCCTTAATCCCTATTTCCCTCCAATGCAAGCTCTGGTAATGACTTGTTTCTTTCTTCCGTTGTCAGGTAGCTTGCTCAGCTGTTTTGTGATTTCTGTGTCTAGGCAATAAGGGTAATTTTTATTTCCAGGAGGGATTGCCCTTAAATGTTTAATTTTCTATCAATTTCTGTCCAAAACCTCGCTGCATCACTGTTCATTCCTCTTTTTCTTTTGAACTCTTCTCCTTCACATACTAAAAAGCCAAAGTGGGTTTTAGCACTGCTTCTCTGTCCTCTGCTTTTGTGAGAGTGCATGTAAATGCTCGTGCATCTGAACTTTGATGGGAGCTCTGTGGGTGAGGACTGATTTTTGGATTTGGATTCCTCCAGGTCTTGGCCCTAAAGTTTTCAGTAGATGGGAGGAAAGAGGCAGAAGCATGTAGCCACATGATGGAAGAATTACTTGATACTAAATGACAGTTAATGTAGTGAAAGTGTCCTCATAGTTCAGTCATATTGTTCCTTTCATGAGATTTAAGATGGGAAGATGCTGGTGGTTTTGCCCTACAGCACTGCTGGCAGCCCCAAATCTGTCATCGTTATTGCCTTCTCAGGCTCTGTCAGCAGATGTTCTTTCCATTTTGCAGTAAGGATCTTCCAGTATACTTGGTGCTCAGCTGAATTTCAGTATGAACTATTGCAGTGGATAGAGAATATACTGTTTGCTGGCTGACAGTTTTATGGCTGATAGTAAAAATTGTCAGTTCTCTGCTCTTGTAGTGGCCTTTCTGCTAGGTGGGGGAGACAGTTCTCTAAAGGGTCCCTCAGAGGTTCTCTCTAGCACCACTTGTAGATCTGGATATATGAACTCAGACTACAATCTAAATAGTGCTCTGCAGCTGAATTTTGGGTGCAGCTATTTGGTGGTGCCTTAGCACTGATTCTCTAAGAAAGAAGTTAGCACTGCACTGGTGAAACAGTGCTTTTAACTAGGTCACAGTTAGATGTTAACAGCTTACAAGGCAAAACCAAGACAATGTTACCCAATGCAAGCAATTTCCAGGACACTACAGGGAGACCCACATCTGAATTGTTAATGCAATGTGTTGTGGGGAGACCCCGAGGGTGAAGATGGTTGATGTCTGGCAGGTGTCACTGCAGTGCCATCTCTCTTGTAATTACTGTCAGTGCTTTTTGTTTGCTTGACTTTAAACACAGCCAAAACGTTCATAAACACTCTGTAGACGTGTGTCGTGCATCGTGAGGTAACACCGGTTTTAGGCTGTGATGTTACTTCCATTTGTTACATGGTCTTGCAGACAATTATGCTGAACTGCTATTGCCTTTGATGTGTCTGCTAGTTTTGTGTTAAACTAGATTTTCATTTAATTTTCTGTTCTTCATCTTTAAACTTACTCATTCTTACGTTTAGCACAAAACTTAATTTTTCATGCACGGCAGTCAGCCTAATGCTCTCCTGGTGAACAGCTCAACTCATGCTTGTTAATATTGCCATCGTGTGGCTGGATTAGATTTGCAACTGTTTTTTATTTGGGTTTTTTTTGCCAACTTCTCTTGGTCCTTAGTGCTGGTAGCAGGTTTTAAGCAGTTGTGAAGGTGACCAGGAGTGTGAAACACACAAATCCTTAAAAATTCTCTGTCCCAGTCAGTTTACCTTCTAAGGAGATTGGCACAGCAAGACAGGAGACACTGTCACTAAGACAAAATGTTAGATTTGTAAAAACTTACATGACTTGTGTGTTTGCCTTTGCGTATTGATACAGATTTGAACAAGGAAGAAGGCTATGTATGGAGCAGGCTTTACCTGAGGAAAAACCTGCAATCTCATGGTTTTGCTGTTTGTTTTTTATGAAGCTATTTGCGGTGGAGAAATTCACAAAGATGCTGGCCAGATCCAATCTCCCAACTACCCAGATGACTACAGACCTTCCAAAGAGTGTATCTGGAAGATCACAGTTTCTGAGGGCTTTCACATAGGTATCACATTCCAAGCCTTTGAGGTGAGAAATGTCATTGTATGTTATATTATGGATATTATTTTGCCTCTGTAGAGCCTTTAAAATTAAGAAGAAAGTGATGTAAATAATTTTTTTTAGCAAAAAATTCTTTTGAATACTTCAGAACATCATTTCCCTTCACCAGAAGTTTGCTCAGAGATTTTGAAGCCAAGTTTTAAATACAATGAGTTTTCAAAAACTGTTAGTCTAGACAGAAGGAATTAGAAGGGGCACAAAATTGCTGATGATGTTAAGCAGGGAATCATGAGTCCTCAAATTTTCACTCTGGTCAAATGAAATTGAATGGTCACAATCCAGGCAAAAAACTCATGTTGATGTCACTGGGGCTTAGCTGATTGCAGGATGTTTGTGACTCTCCAAAGAAACATCATGTTCCCAGATGACAGACAGGTTTTGAAGAGCTCAGAAAAGGTTTTCTCCTACTGGTTATAGGATGTCTTACACTAGTAGCTAGGTGCCCAATGATCTGTTTCTGACTACTGATGTATAAGTCACGCATAGGTGTGGACAGGACCTGGGTTGGTGCATAAATCCCATCTATCCCACAGGCTCCTGTGGCTTATGAACACTTAACTGTGCTTGTCCTAGAAAGGGCTGACACCACTACCTCCTAGCTGTGACCCCACAGCTATTCCTTGAAACTTTTTTTTTTTGTAGTTGTTCTGCTCTGTTCCTTACAGCTTCTCATGGAAAAGCAGCCTGTAGGTAGTCAGGGACCGGATTTCACCAGAGGATAGCCATGAAATAGCAGTAGAACTGAGATGTGGCTGGACTTGAATGCAGTTACAACTGCAGGAGAGTTCAATGGCAGCCGTGAGGCAAGTACCTAGTTGTGACCAGTTGTTTGGGATGCTCCTTTGGAAGCTGATGTCTAGCCAAAGTCTAACTGCGTAGCTAGCCTGACTCAGAGCACTCATAGTAGTGCACTACAGGCACACCCTTTTCCTATTACAGGTTGAATGGCACGACACATGTTCTTATGACTACCTGGAGATCCGAGATGGCCTCACTGAATACAGCCCACTGATTGGTCACTTCTGTGGCTACGAGAAGCCAGAAGATATCAAATCCAGTTCAAATAAAGTATGGATGAAGTTTGCATCTGATGCAACCATCAATAAAGCAGGCTTCGCAGCAAATTTCTTTAAAGGTGTGTGATCTACTACCTCTCAAGGTCCAAGCTGGGGACCATTCATCCCTTAACCTACTGCCATCCCAAAGTGATCTGTTACCATTGTATCTACTTGTAGTTAAGAGCTGTTAGACTTGTCTGTACAACCGTCAATATGAAGTTTATATACAAACTGCTTTGAGAGTGTAGAGGGGTTTGCTGAGGCACGAACACCATTTCCCAGATTAAGACAGAAAGAAAGCCTACTGCATCAGTACCAGCACAGGCACTAATGCCTTGTGTTGCGCAGCTCGACGAAATGTGATCTCCATTTATCCATGCCAGGGAACATTGACGTTTTCAAAGGAGGTACTAGTACAGCACAAAGAGTATTAAAAACAACTCTCTGCTTAAGTTCTATTCCAAAAGAAACCTCTGGAAAGAGGGTAAACTTGAATGCAAGTAGAATCCCAGGGAAAATTTCTGAATGCTTTAGGAGACAAAAGTGTTCCTAAACTGAGATCCTCTTCAGGAAGATGCGAATAAGACTAAGGTTTTTCTTAAGAGCTGGACCCAAGACATGGTCCTTTACCAGCATGCTGGTGACTTGATAGAGGGAAGAACCAAATATCTAACCACTTGGGAAAACACCTGCGGAGCTGCTGCGAGGTAGTCATGTTTCTCTTAGGTTCAGTGACAGTTGTACAAAAAAAATAGCTGCAATGCCAATATTTGGATTGCACAATTCCTTTATTTATTTTGACTTTGACATTTGTCTTGCGTTAAGGGTGTCACGGTCCATTTGGACCTCTCAAGTTTACAGGACAATGTATTCTGTGAATTAAACTTTATTTCATGAGCTCATTAAGAAACAACATCAAACAAACATGGCAGGGCTCAATCCCCTTTGCTCAGACTAATCTATCACTTGAATTCACTTATTCACCATTGAAGTCATAAGGTTTCATAACTTATAACCCATAATTCTTAATCCGTGCACTTATGTGCAAAAAAAGAATTAGTTAAATAAGGTTTAATTCACAGAGTATGTTGTCCTGTGAATTTGAGAGATCTTAACAGATTGTGACAAAGGGTGATTGCAAGATCACTGGCAAATACTGTGATGTTTAATTCCAGTCCCTGAACAACTATCACAGTGCCTAGACTTCCTTGTTTAAATTTCTCAGGTTCTGTAAAGACACAGAGAATGCTTCTTCCTAAAGACATTTTGGCTTCTTTCAGGAGCTGATAGTGCAGACTGACTGGTCTTCCAGGGATTAGCACTTCATGGAGACTTCTTGGTTTGCATCAAGTCATTCTCTAGAATCTGCAGGGGAAGAAAGTTACACACCTGAACCTGGGATGCTTTCCTTGTGATACAGTTAGTCAGAAATAATTTTTTTTTTAAATGCATAAAAATGCACTGCTAGTACAATTGCAGACACAGGTATTGTCTGTGGAGTTTTTGCTGGCAGACTAGATCTTGTAGTGTTTCCTCAGACTTCACATGTTTGAACCAGAAATGGTCTAGCTTGTGGATGGTGAGGGTGTTGCTAAGTCCATGCCAGTGAGTCCAGCTGAGGAGCAAAGTTTTAGTTGCTTGGACCAAGCACCGCAGTAGCCATAGCTACACAACTTCTAGCCAGCTTGCATTGTGGGCAGAGCTGATGTCAGTTTGCAAAAGCTGGGTAGACATACCTGCAGGCTACATGTGGAGTTTCAAGCTGGGATCTGAAGTCTGCAGCCTTTACCTCCATATCCAGAGGGATTTTGACTACCAGCCACTCCATGAATGAATTAGATGGCTCTGCAGGCACTCTTCAAACTGCCACCCATAGCTGATCGAGCAATGGGTCAGCTTTGCCTGAATGAATTATGAAGGGAATAGAGCTTCAATTACATGTCTTGCAACACTGAAAGAAAATAACTCGGCTTAAAAAAAAACAACAAGCAGAGTTAAGGATGGAATTGAATGTTATGCTTTGTGAGAAGATGCAGTGGTAACTTCTAGCTTTTCAGAAAAATAAACCTGCAAACAGCTCAGAGAGAGTAAGGCAGCTCAGAGAGGGTAAACTATTGGCCACATCCAAGAGACAATGTCAGGAAGATGTGAAGAGCAATTACCTCATGTCCATCCCATCATGTGTATCTCAAGGGAAAGCTCTAGGATTATTCTTTATTACTTATCTTCATTTTGGTAACAAACCATTTGTATCACTGAAGCCTATTTTGTATATGGTTGAAGTGTTAGTAGTGATGTGCTTGTCTTTACACTCACATTGTTGTGCCTTTCTTCTTCATGGCAAACACTAGAGGAAGGACAATACTCTGCAAAATATACCTGCCCATAGCCAGGACATGTCCTTCCCACGGTAAAAACTGATCATGTGGGCTTTCGATGATTGCAGGAGTCGCAGCCTCTCTTTTCTCTCAAGCAAGTGATTTAACAACCAGATTAGAAGCTATTGAACCTGTACCGAAGCATGGAGCAGCAAAGAAATACTCTACTCTCTTCATAGTGAATCCACAAACAGAAACCAGAAAATAAAATCTGTTTGGACTGGAACTGTTACAGCGTGGGGGAGTCCTGACTGTGGGAAGGCTTTGCGGGAAGACAGTGTTATCAATAGAAGAGAATAGAATATTTCAGTTGGAAGGGACCTACAATGATCATCTAGTCAAGACTGTTCCTCTTTGATCTATGTAGCAGTAACTGTTACTGGAACATTATATTGGGTGTAGGTGTCAAGGTGCTGGCACTGGCAGGCTGCAGAGGCTACCCATGCCAGAGAGATGGTTCAAGCTGGCTCCACAGTGGACCCACCGCAGGTTGTAGCTAAGCCCATCAGCTGAGCTGGTGGCACCTCTGTGAAAACATGTTTAAGAAAGGTCAAAAATGACGGGGAGAGAGAGGAGGAGGGAACAAAAAGTGCCAAACAGCAGAGGTAACGCCAAGGTCAGAAGGTAGAGGTGCTTCATGGCAGAGCAGATATTCCCTGCAGCCTGTGGAGGACCCATGCTGGAGCAGGGGGGAAGTATGAGAAGGAAGGAACAGTAGAGCCATGTATTGACTGTAGCTCCCCATCCCCTCCTGCCTTTGCATGCTCATGGCTTTGCTGAAGGGACTGAGTGCAAGCTGCAGTGATACAAGGCAGAGGGAGAGGAGTCTGGAGTGAAGTTGAGTCTGGGAAAGGGGATGGAAAGGTGCTTTCCCTAAGTGTTTTAACTTTTTTTTTTTCCTCCAGTTTTTGTCTCCCAATACCCAAAGCTGGGCTGAGGCCAACCCACCACAACCGTGTTAATAAAACCATCTAGTAAGGGATGCACATGGAATCAGGGGTCAGGGTGAGAAGCCAGTACGTCTGGCTATCTATATTAAAATGTCAGTTCAGGTTGTTAAGATGTGATTGGAAGAACCTGACTTCAAAGTCTAGGGTAGCAAGACTTCATGTGTCTATGAAAAAGAAGAACTACTTGCATGTCCTCCCAGCTCCTTTATTGCACCCCATTCAGTGGGGTATGGCCTCCCACAGCTCCATTACTGTGGGCACCATAATGGGCTAATTCCTGGTAGCTCAAGTCACTCAAGAGCATGAGAAATTTAAAAAACAAAACAAAAAAACAGGGGCAAATGAGAACAAAAGGCAGTGTAGTCTTCACAGGAGACTATGTTTTCCTGCTCCTGTCTAGACTACTCTTGACTAGTAAGAGTAGTTGTAGTCCTTTACAGTTTTGGTGGTAGGAGTGCTTTAGTACTTGTGAGGTTTGCTGCGGTGCCTGCTCTGTGGGCTCAGGTCATCAGCCAGTGCTCTGGTCCTTCTGTCCAGAAGTGTTGCATGAGGAATATGAGGGGGTTTGGGTGGTCAGGAAAGTGAGAGTTGTTCTGTTTTTCTCCTGACAGAGATGGATGAATGTTCTCTGCCAGACAATGGTGGATGTGAGCAGCACTGTGAGAACACACTGGGCAGTTACAAATGCACCTGCGAGCCTGGCTATGAGTTGACAGCTGATAAAAAGAGCTGTGAAGGTCAGTAAACCTACAGATTGAGGAATTGAGTACTACAGCTAATAATGAAATTGAACAATCTTGGAGATGATTTTCCTTGTCCCTACATACTCTTTGTTTCTGTTCATCTTCCCCAACATGAAAAATTGCTTTTTGTCAACATCTTCCTTTGAAAAACAAGTTTTGGTTGAAAAACTGAAAATACTCTGATTCTCTGCTGCTAAACATCTCTAAAACCAGTTGTTCTTCATGGCCAGAGATCCCTGTTCAGACCAGATCTCCCACAGTGCAGCGTGAGGGAGGGTGGGCATTACAACCTAACCACTGAGTAGCCCAAAAGTATTTCAATCTAAGGCTGACTTTATTACTTTTTTAAAGAAATTTATTTTATAGAATAAAATACCAATGTGTTGCCTGCATGCAAAACAGACACTCTCCATATTGAGGAGTAAACTCCCCCCTTCTGTTACAGGGAAAAAAACCCGATGTCTTTGATAGGAACTGTTTCTGTCAGCTTTCTATTTATACAGTTAATCTCTTGCAACAAGTGTTTGCTCCCACCAACAATACAGCTGTTGGTGTGGTAAGAATCCAATCATTGTTCTTGTCTCGTAGCTCTGCCTTTCAGCTGAGATGTGTAGGCAGCTCCACATGCTGTGAGTGGTGCTCTCAAAGTCACCTAGTTTGCCCTGACTTCTACTTTTGCCAAACTGTTTGGGGAAGGCTGCTGTCAACTTGGTGAGGGCAGAGTTAGGTGCATACAAAAGGCTTTTGGAAGCTTTACTTTATTTTTTAAAATAATTTCTTGCTATTTTTGAGCAAGCCAGTTGGTATAACTTGGCAAGCATTTTTTTGAACTTCACTCTTAACCTCCTATTTTAAACTTCATTTGTGGGCAACACAGGAAGGATAGTCTTTGAAATTGTAGTGATGCACATCAGAGTAAATTGCTTTTGTTTCTCCAGACACGCTTGCTTGCTACACTTTTGTACTGAAGCTGCTCCCTTGGGTTAGTTCTCTTAATGCAAAACAATGCTGGGAAAAAGACACGGGAATCTTTTATCCCTGTGGGTTTTGAAGATCTGGCCATATCTCATTACTCCCAAGAAGCAGCAAGAAAAAATTGCTTCATTGCAAATAGAATTTTGCAGCAAAAGAGCAAACAGGTTGATTCCTTTGAGGTAAAAGCCATGCCCTCCCACAAGAGGATGAAGCCGATATGTCCTGAATTTTTAAAGGAAATGGGATAATAAAGCTAAGTCTTTGTCTTTGTCTTCAATTTTCCCTAGAGAAGATGCAGCCCATGTAATAAGCCACTGAAGAGCTGACAGGGGTGTCTTCCCTAGGATTCCATTATCTTCTGATTATTCCATTACTGATAAACTTGAAATAGTAAGGTTTGCAGGACTGAGTGTTGGTGAATTTGCCAAGCTGGCATTCACAACTGCATTGTGCATGTCAGCTGATCCACAGTAAGCCCAAGGCTAGAGAGTAAAAAGCAGATCAATCTTACATGGTCTAAGTGGCTCTCAGGGCCATAGCCTGGCTGTGTGTATTTCACTGGTGATTTATAGCTGGTGAGGTTTCTATCTTCTTCGCAGCTCCCAGCATTTAAAACCTGTTCTGGAGGCCAGGATTTGATATGTGCCACCAACCAGGATCTGATTAATTTTCTAGCTTACACTGTGGCCCAATCTGTGTGTCTAAACAGAACCAAGTAAAACTTGTGTTCATTTATTGCCTCTCCAGCTGCCTGTGGGGGCTTCATCACCAAGCTCAATGGGACCATTACTAGCCCTGGATGGCCCAAGGAATATCCTACTAACAAAAACTGCGTCTGGCAGGTGGTAGCTCCAGCCCAGTACCGGATCTCTCTGCAGTTCGAAGTGTTTGAGCTGGAAGGCAATGATGTACGTAACCAGTCCCTGCATCTCAGAGGTGTGACTATTGGCTAACTCAGAACTGGATGAACCCTTGGGGCACGAGGAAGAGGAGACTGTCTTACTGGTGGAGCTTCTGGTTGTTTTCCCGCCTTTGATATAATAAGCCAATAACAGTGATTGTTCTCCTTGAAGTCTGGATCTGCTTTCTCTATGGAGTGGAAGGATTAAAGCTGTTCTGTTATAAATGGGCTTCTTTTCTCTACCAGTTTTGCATAACTGTAGGTGTTTTCCACCCCTAATAGGTGTCCCATTCCCCCCTTCCCCTGAGCTGCCTTTGCAGGAAAATAATTGGAAATGAACAATGAAGCACAGTTCTTCAAGGATAAACAAAATAACCAGTAACAGTCTGTTCTCTGCCCTGCCAAGGGCAGGGTGGAATTTGAACAAAATATTCCAGGTGTTGCTTTCCCCACTGTAAATGGGAGCAGTGGCTCTTCCTTAATTCAACAGGCTGCTGAAGTTCGTTCAACACTGTCAGGTTCTTGGATAAGGTGGGAGTAATTATTTTAGCTAAATTAAATGGAACCTTCACTATTCTGATAAACACACCCATGCTTTTAAGACTAGAAAAGCAAGGGAAGGGCATGAGAACACTGACAAAGGAGAATTTGGGGATTTGAGGAATGTGTTTGCGTATAAGGCTGTTTCTGTTCCCTCTCAGTCAAGCCTCTGTCCCCTTGCTCTGAAACGCTCTGTTCCAAGTCCACAGAGCTGAGAAATCTCCTTCTCTCTTGGCAGGTCTGTAAATATGACTACGTTGAGGTTCGTAGTGGGTTGGCTTCTGACTCCAAGCTGCATGGCAAATTCTGTGGCTCAGAGAAGCCTGAAGTAATCACGTCGTATGGCAACAACATGAGACTGGAGTTCAAATCAGACAACACAGTCTCCAAGAAAGGCTTTAAAGTTCATTACTTCTCTGGTAGGTGGCTGTATTCTTTCACTTGCTTAGCTGTTTCCTCTGACTGAACCTCTTGGTTGTGGTGAATTTTCTTCGACCTCCTGTCAAATCAGGCAGAGCCTGACATGGTTAGTTACATCTAAAAAGCATGGTTGCTCTGTGTTGTGTCCCCTTTCATCTCGGTCTCTCAGTACACTGTATGGTCCAGTTTCATAGTGCGCTGTCAGCAAGATGCATGGATTTCATCAATGCTACCAGTCCTTCCACAGCAGAAAACAATGAAGAACCTGCTCCTAGAAGTTATTTCTGTCCCTGGAGTCATTAAAGAAAAGCTTTTTCCTCTGAAACTAAAAGAATTAGAAAATTCCCAGAAATATTCTATATAGCAATCCTACCTCTCAAAGCATTGCATGCTAGTGGAAGTTTCTGATCCTCTGTTCTGAGTCCTTTGTAGCTCTTGGTGTCAGTGATGTACCTTGTTGGCAGGCAGTTCTGGAGCTTAACTGTACATCACACGGAAGTGGAAATTCAATTTCATGCTGTGTTTTCAGCAGAGACCGAGGAGTATTAATATTTTTGACAAGGATGATGAGGCAAAATGGCCTTGAATTAAGAGCTGCAGAGTAGAATCAGGGCTAGGCATTTGGCTTATTAAATCTAACAAGAGGAAGTATGAAGTTGGGTATGTTTCATCTACAAATACATTTGGGAGTGAGGTAACAGATGAGGTTAATGAGGACAAGGGAGGGCACTGGCCCAAGAAAAATTGGAGATAAACTGTTCATAAATTAAATTGGACTGGAAACCATGAGCAGATCCTATGCTCAGAACAGTGAGATTCAGGAATGCATAGTCCTGAACGCACAGGAGCGAACATCTACTGGGGCATATTTCAGCTTCAGAGAGCAGCTTATACCTTAGATCCTCTTCTTCATCTGGCTGCTTGTGCTCTCTGGCAGACCTGTTTAAAGATGGAGGCTCATCAGAGCATGTAGAAACTTGAAAATATAAAGACTGGCCAGTAGATTTTTGCCTAAGCTAGTGAATTTGTGTGATGCTTTTCCTGGACTCTATTTTAAAAGAATGAGACGTTGTTATAGGTTTCTTTTACATAGGAGTCTTTAACCATTCAAAACCTACATTATATAATAAAACACATTCGTGATGCATTTTATGGAATGAAATACAATTGGAAGAGAATTGTATCTGGGCTAAAAAGCTGACTGGACTAATCCAGCAGCAGAAGTTGGAGGATTGCACTGATTTCTGCCAGTCTGGGTATGGGACACCCAGCTGGCAACTGTGATAGTCTGTTTCTCACTGTCAACTCAGTGTTTGTTGGTTTGATCCTGCCCAGACAAGGATGAATGCTCTAAAGACAATGGTGGTTGCCAGCACGAATGTATCAACACCTTTGGGAGCTACATATGCCAGTGCAGAAACGGCTTCATGCTGCATGAAAACAGCCACAATTGTAAAGAAGGTAAGGTCCCCACTCCCTGCCCTCAGGAAAGACAAGGTGCTTCAAACATGGTTTGAGCCAGGGTGCTTTCTGCCTGGTGTTGGAAGGATGTTTGTACAGCATAACAGGCTGGGGCACTGAAAAAGCCCCAGCTAGCTGAAAAAACACCTAGAAAAAGGAATAAGAGAGCTTGTTTTTAGCTGGATCCATTCCCCAGTCTGGCCCTCTATATGGCCATGGGGGATGGACAGGGTGGGAGCAAGAAGTTGGGCTAGTGAAAGGAGCAGTTGTGGTACTATTAGACTAGTCACTGCTGCTTTATTTGATTATTGGGTTTGAGTCAGAAGAGAAAGGATGATCTGATCTAACCGCTTGCTGCTGCCAAGATTACTTTCTTCCTGCACCCTTACCCCTGCTGTGTGCTTCCATGGCCTTCCTGTGTATGGCCTCTGGTCCTTGTCTGATCTCTCCATGAGCTGATTCAGCTTTCCAGGTCAGCAAAACAACTCAAGGCTGAGATAGCACCAGAGTCAACACAGTGGAGGGGTTGGACACCATGTCACCGGGAACAGGGCAGACAAGATGGAGGAGCAGGAGAATATGTTTGGGAGTGAGGAGGTGGATGAGGTTAATGAGGTCCAGGGGAATGAGATGGTCCATTTCACCAACTGCCAAGTTAGCTCAGAAAAGTATAGGACAAACTCACCAGAACTATGCAATAATACCAAAAGATCTTGTTCAGTGACTGAAGCCTTCCCTGTTTCTGCCCTGTTGAGGGTCTCAGTGGGCAGAGAGGAGCATGTAGGATGTTATGTGGTTCCCATGTGAGACCTGCCTTGATGCCTCCATCTTGTGATGTCTCTCTCTCAAGCCGGTTGTGAGCACAAGCTGAGTGGTGCGGAGGGAACGATGAGCAGTCCAAACTGGCCTGACAAGTACCCCAGCCGGAAAGAATGCACCTGGGATGTCTCTGCAACGCCTGGCCACCGAGTGAAAGTAGTGAGTAACCAGTGAGTGGGAGTGTGAGGGGAGAAGCAGGCAGGATTGTGAGCAGCTGAAGTGACTTTCCCCCACCACTCTGTGAGTGGGAGGTTGATCCCCATAGGTTCTGTGTGGGGTGCTCAGAGGAGGGCATCCCGGGAGGCTGCCCCTGGCCTGTAAAAGGGCAGAATGTCTCAGAGGTACACAAGGCAGTGGTGAGGCAGCTTGGAGGAGACTCCAGCAGATGACAGCTGTGGAGCATTGCTGTCTCTGTTAACAGAAGGTATAACATGCCCTCCTGCCCCTACTCCTCCTTGTGACCCACTCTGTTGGGACCATCTCTGCATAAGGTGGTGGCAGGGCCAGTCCCCAGCCCCTCTGAGGGAGAAGCATCAGGCCCATTTTACAGCATAGCCTGATGCATATGGCAGGACGTGACCAAAGCTGTGCAGATGGCCCACGCACTGGGGGAAATAATGCTTGGATCCCTGTGCACAGTGAAAGCAGTACTGAAGAACTGCCATTTGGTGTGCTAGACAGGGTTCCTGGCAGGAAAATAAGAGCATATAATGCTTCCAGTTGAAAACTGGCGTCATGCACCCATGTGAGGCAGCAAAGCTAAGGCTACGTGGCACATTCATATGAACTTCTGAGCTTTGCCACCCTGAGATCACTCTTGACTGAAAGCTCACTATTCTGTTCTGATTTGTGGGAGGAATGGGACAGGCATACCATTTGACCTCTTTCTCACTTGGCATTTCATCCTCTGCTAAATTGCATACTCAAATTTACAAATGTCTGTCTTAATTTTCCTTATTCTTGCTTTAGACCTTCAATGAGTTTGAGATTGAACAGCACCAAGAATGCGCCTATGACCACTTGGAAGTGTATGATGGGCCCAACAGCAAGTCACCTATCCTTGGCCGCTTCTGTGGCAGCAAGAAACCAGAGCCTGTAGTGGCCTCTACTAACAAGATGTTCCTCAGGTTTTACTCTGATGCTTCTGTGCAAAGAAAAGGTTTCCAGGCAAAGCACAGCACAGGTAAGCTGGTTGCCTGCCAATACCCCAGTGCAATAAAGTGTTATCAAATCTCACTGCGTTGTTTGCCAGGCAAAATGAGACACACTTTTCTCCCAAATAAGCTTAGCCTGAATTTTAAGTGGTTGTAAATTGTGCTAACCAGTTCCTAGACCATTACTGGTACCATACCATAAATGCCAGCTTCCTTATCAGCTCAGAGGTCTCTTGATGTCAAACATTCCTGCTCAGTTCTTTTGTTTAAATTGGAGGTGTTTAGTTGAGCAGCAACCCATTCTGTTCCTCATCAACCCTCAGAAAATAAGGTGATGCAACTTAGCCCATGTATTTGCCCACACACGGAACAGGCTGGTTATGGTGGAAGCAGAGATGTGCTGTGGACAGACACAACAAACTTGATCTTCTATCTGTGGCAGCCCAGAGGTGGGTGTGTTGTACCAAGGTTCACTTTTTTGAATCCCTGCCACTTTAAACAGATGAAACATGCTCTGAGCAGCAGTGCATGAGAGACTGGTGAGGAGGCATCTTCCTGATTGGCTGTAGGGAAACTCTGCACCAAAGCATACACATTTTGCACAAGCACCAGCCTACCTCTGTGCAATGCATGGGCAGAAAGGGATTATTTTGGTCCCCAGTTTTTTAACGTGCTTCAGTTTACTGCTGGTAAAATACCTGGAGTCAGAATTTCAGCTGCAGGACAAGTGCAAAGAACATGTTAAGTCTTCCTTTTAAGCAATTGCTGTATAACATAATACATTTTTCTAGAGCATAATGTGGTAGGAACCCCATCCTGCCAGTTTTAACTGATTGTCTCTTTCCTTCTATGTTTTGTATCAAAAGGACCAAGCTTCTCTACGCTATGTGAGTCAATGGATTCATGGGTGACTGGAGAATTCACTGGTTTATGGTAGTTTGGTGCAGTAGTTAATCACCTTCCCTGTGGTACATGCACTTCATGCTGGAGGTCTTCTCTCCCTACAGCTGGCCCAAATATGGGATGGCAAGTCTTTGTTGTGAGGTAGGGCCTTTGATGAGACTGTGTTTTGTGCTCTTTTTTTCCTCCAGAGTGTGGTGGGCTCTTAAAGGCTGAAGTACGAACTAAGGAGCTGTATTCCCATGCTCAGTTTGGGGACAACAACTACCCAGGTCAAGTGAACTGTGAATGGGTGATTGTAGCTGAAGATGGTTACGGGGTGGAGCTGATATTCCAGACATTTGAGATTGAGGAGGAGGCTGACTGTGGGTACGACTACATGGAGATTTATGATGGTTACGACAGCACTGCACCCCGCCTGGGACGCTTCTGTGGCTCAGGGGTAAGCCGTGGCAGTGGAGATTTCATAGGCATAACTGGAGATGGCAAGGAAGGGTACTCTCATACCCTTTTTGGAGAGGGGCAGCTCTCACAAACTGGTGATGAGAATGCCTTGTGTGTCCGGGTTTTGCTTCTCCTGTTGCTAGAGATCACAGCTGTTTTATCTGATGCACAGAGCTGGTCTGACTGACTTGCCCTTGTTAGCCCAGGGCCATGTGCAGCAGCATGGAGCTGCCATGCTGCTGTGCCCCAGCCCTGCCACAAAAGCATTGTGTAAATGTTGGAAGCAGCTTCCAAAGGCCAGTTTCATCCTCAGTCACTTCCTGCCTGAAGCCAAGTCACACTGCTGTCATGCTATGGTGAGGGCAAAGGGTGGAGGGACTTGCAGAGCTGCTTGTTGACTCCAGAGTGGCATGCTGTCTCCTAAACTGTTATCTATGTCCCCATTAAGAGGAGTGACACTGTTAGCATAAGCAATAGTGTGTCGTATTTAAAACCAGAGGTTCTATGTTTAATTTCTCTAGGACTTCAGCAATGAAATGGAGAAGGTTCTCAGTGCATTTAGAGAGAGACATCCAAGGAGCAGGTGTGTTGGAGCAGTCCTTGCGAATTGGGGAAATGGTCTGAAAAATAAACAAAGGCATAGCAGCTTGGTGGGAAGAAGTTCAGGGCAGCAGGGTAGTAATCTACCTACCTGCACACTGACAAACAGAGAATGGCAGGGAAAGTGTTGGTCCTGCAGAGAAGCACAGGGAGGTTGTATAAGGTCATAACAGTGGGGGAGATAACCAGAGTTATCATGTAAGATATAGGGCTAAGTTATTTTGTTGCTAATGAACCTTTGGAGGGCCTCTGCTGCAAAACAGGGCCCAGTTTGGATTGTGTCATTTCCTGAAAAGGTTAGGACAAATTAGAGAAAACTCAGAAGGCTGGAACAAGAACATCCAGAGAGTCCTGTGAATGTGACCTACCAAAACCAACTGGAAGAAGTGGGGTTGTAGAGTGGGCTGGCATCAGTCTTCAAACATAAATAGGGCAAGCATGCAAAGAGCAAGGGAACGTGCTCAGGAAATCAGAGCAGGGCAGGAGGTACTGAGCGCTCAATGTTTGTGTTTCCTGGCCAGTCTGAGCTTAAATTCTAGCATCATAGTACAGTTATTTAGCCTGCAGACTTGACCACTCTGCTGCCTTCTTTACTTTTCTGCAGCCTCTGGAAGAAATCTACTCTGCAGGGGATTCCATCATGATTCGATTCCACACAGACGACACCATCAACAAGAAAGGCTTTCACGCCCGATATATAAGTACCAAATTTCAGGATGCATTGCACATGAGAAAATAGTTTGACTACTCCTCACAGACATTCCCATCTGAAGATTGAGACTTTAAACTGTGATCTTTGTCTGGGGTTTTTTTGTTTGTTTGTTTTTTTTTTAAGCTTCTGTGCACCTGGACAAAAGCAGTATACAGTATTTTCAGTAACTAAAACTAAATCCAGTCTCAAAGGTTTGCCTCTGAAATTATTAGCATGACCCTTTCTTGTTAACATACCCAGGACCAAAAATTGTCTTCTAATCATACCTGCCAGGGCATAAACATTGTATTTTGCACAGCTTGCCATGGGACTGAGTGAAGACTGAGACTGAATTGAGAAGAGCCTTCATCTCTTGCATATCCTGTTTCTAGGTGACATTTCCTAAGCATCCTGTACACATGAGCTGTCTGAACACATTTTCTGGAGCAGATGATGTGGACAGCCACCTGGTAGGATTTTCTCAAAATACCTTGGGAGCCACCCGCTCTCCCCTACCAGCCCAAAATACTCTGTGCAATAAGTGAACAACCAGATGGCTGTGACTCCATCACTCCTTCTGTCCCATCTGTTTATTGTCTTGGTTATTGTGGGTTGAAAGGTAGGCAGGGGCACAGGGACAGTCTCTTTAGGGCTGCTAGCTGCTTGGATCACAGTGAATGAGAAGGGCCCAGTGCCTGATTTGCAGTAATTGTCATGGTATATGCTGAATGGGAGTGCTTTGATCGGGTGGTGCTGTGGTGGGATGCAAGGCATGACCGTGTAATGGTGGCAAAGCTTAACAACTGGAGTGCTGACAGCATGCTCCAGTTACACCACCAGGCAAGGCAGCTCAGAGGGCTGTGGCAGCAGTCCAGACCTTATCTTAAATAAGGAATCTCTCCTCCTCACTCTACCCATGTTTGCTTTCTCAGCCTTCTTTACACTGCTTCCTTTCCTTAGTACCACTTCAGCGTGAGCCCTTCCTTTTCACAGCTGAGCTGCTCTTCTCAGGGCTCCCCACCACAATCAAGGAGTGCTCTGCAACATCAGCTACCTGGAGCATAGTGGAAACACTGGGCCAGAGATAGTCAGGGTGTCCCTGAGGCAGAGGTACACAAGCCATGCTACAGGTCAGCTCTGGTGAGCTCTGGGAACCTGTCAAACGTGCAACCTCCAGGCATGGGACTAGGAATGGGAGAACTCTGCTGTTCTCTGCTTCCTCCCCGTTCCTCACTGGCCCATGGCCCAGTTTCTTAACTTCATGGCGGGGTGCAAGCAAGATGGTGACTTAAGCACTTTGAGCTATAAGGCTTAGACATGCTCTGTGTTGCAGTTATTTATGTACATGGAAGCTACCAAGCCATGGACTTGCAGAATTAACAAGTAGCTTGGCACTTCCTTGGGAAAAAGTAGGGAAAACTGTGCTTTTAGGGGAACCGCTGTAATTGAGCTGTTGATATGGGAAGAAAAAAAAAGATAAGAAAAAAAAGACTTTATTCTGAATAATATTTCATTAAGGCACTCATGGGCAGCTATGAGCTAAAAGCTGAGGTATGTTAGCTTTAATAAAGTATTTGTAATCCAAGGATTACTATGTTTACATAACCAATGTACTGTCAGGCTCCGGGGTGACACCTCCTCTCTGGTGTATGACTGTGGAGAAGTGTGGGGCCAGTGCCACTGTCAGGCACAAATGGCATTCCTGGAGATGAGGGCATTTCCAGACGGATAAGAAAAAGATCCAGCCCTCTCCAGAAGACCGTGAACAGAATATGGTCCAAGTATTGTGAATACTGGGAGAAGCAAATGCATGAAAATATTTTCTTGCTTAGAACAAGAAAAATAAAGTAATTTATACACACACACACACAAGATTATATGTATATAAACTGTGCATGTAGAAGACCAGTAGTCAAAGCCTTAATAAGTGTCATGTGAACAATACTGTACCATTGACAATAGCTTTATTGCAGGCTGTATAAAACCATGTTATTTCTGTTTTGTTTTTTTAGCTCTGCTTTGTTCCTCTTTTCAAATTGTGTGGCCTTTTTACAGGCAAGACCTCTGATCTCAAGCTGTTTGACCATGCAGGTCTGGGGAAATGAGCTCTGCTAGATGGGGTCTGTGTTTGTCCTTCTCTTCCTTGCCCCCATTCAAGCAAAATCACAGTGACTCAGGTCTGGAAATAAAAGTGTGACACTGATCCCTGTGAAATGGAAGGAAAGTTTCAGGTGGCAAGCAGCAGTTCAGGTTTCCTGGCTTTCTAATGGGAGCAATGACTCTGGAGAGAAGTGACTGTAGGAGCTTCCCGTGTACTTTAACATCTTTGTTCCATGTTCTGGTAATTTCCCATCTTCCCCCGACTTGTTCGTTGCAGATGCTTGCAATGTGGTTTGACGGATCTACTACACTTGTTAGCATTCATGCAGGTGTCTCTTGTGACAGTGTGCTCACAACTGTTGTACTGTGCATTTCAACCAATGATCTATGTAGAATATTTCTGCTGTACTGACTGGGCTTAACAGTCAATAATTCTAAATGGGTGAAAGTTTCTTAAGAAAAGGAAAAAAATGTCAGACCCTCTAAGGTATGTATATGTATTCTGGTCTTTGTGTGGTTTTACATTTAGCTAACTAAAATAATTTTTTAAGAGGAGAAGGAGAAGAGGGTGTGGGGGCAATCACAAATGTATCTGTGCCCAGAACAAGTCTGTGCATTCATTTAAAGACTGTGGATTCAGCTGCACATTCTGTTGTATGCATGCATGTACCACTTCCTCAATGGGAGGAAATTTCTTAATACATCCCTTGTTCTGCCAACTGTTGTTTGTGTCTACAGCTAATACCGGGTGGGATTTACTCTCTGCAGGAAGCAAATTTCCCTTGAGCCTTTAGCTTTGTCTTGGCTTTTACAATCAAGAGGGCATTTAGGAAGCGGGCAGAGGAACAAGTTGGTCAGCCAAAGGGCTACATCATTGTTTTTCATGTTCTGCGCTCATGCTTTAGTGGGCTGAGATGCAGATCTGCAGCAGTAAGCATTAGGGATCTGGAAATTAGTCCCTAAGTAGACTTCAAAAGAGGAGGCTCATTTACTACACTACAGGGTATGGCCTTCAGCAGCAGGTCCCAAAGATCCTGGGACATGAAAGTCCTGTGCAAAGGACAGCAGGATGAGCCTGAGGCAGATGTTCCTTACTGCAGAGTTGTGGTCCACATTCTTACTGTGGCAGCAAAATGAACAGTAGCTTGGCAGCACCTAAAATGCTTTTCTTCTCTTTCTGTCCACTGCTTGATGTCTACACTGCTTGCTAAGGATCATGTCTGTGTTCTTTCCCCAACATATACCCAGTTTGTACTTGTCCCACCACCCAGAACTTTTCCTGTGGTGTGTATTACAGCCACTCAAACCTTTGTGGTGACTGAGTTTCCTCCCAGCTGTTCCCAAAGGCAAAGCAGCAATGGAGATGAACTAAGGAATAAGCATCCCCATGTAGGTCCTCCTGTACCCAGAGTATCATGGCACAGTATAACCCTGGAATGAGCCTGGAGGCTGACAGTCAAGTCACTAGGTGGACATCATTTCCAAGAACAGGGCCAAAAGCCTTCAGTCACATAGAGAGTTACAGTCCAAAGCAATGTGGAAATATTAGAAATTATGCAGCCCAAGTGAAGCTGGTGGGAAATAGGAGGTGGAATATGAAGTCACAGCTGTTAGAGAAACACACAGATGTTTGCAATTACAGTGAGAAAAGTCCTTACTGTGTGCACAGTCTATCTGTTGTATGTGTAAAGATCTTTTGCAGGCTTCTATCTTCCCTGGTCTTCAACTACCATGTTCCCTTAATGTCTCTTTCCACACTGCCTGCCTGCCACCAGTGCTGTGTGACATGGCCAGTCCTCATTTTCTCTGCTGATTCTAGAAACAGGACTTCATTTTCCAGAAAGTGTCCAAGGACAGTCCAGTCACCATGTGTGAGAAGCTGAAGGGAATATCCATTGTCTGCCAGGAGATTCTTCATCTTTTAAAAACATGAGTACCCGGTGGTACAGTGCACTTCAGACAAAGAACGATGCCTCAGACCAGACAGACACATTGGTCTCAGCATTAAACCAGCAGAAATCTTCCACTTTGTCCTGGTGTTTCCAGCAAACGTGCTCTGGCAGATGAGGTGCGAGCCTTAGAAAGCAAAAGCAGGATTCCCCTCAGGCTGACTTTTGGTACATATTAAGCATGCTCTCAGAGCCAGGAGTGGTTTTATTTGCTATGGGGCAGGCAGAGAACAGGTGGAGTCTCTTCAGCGCTGGGACCTGGCTCTGTGAGGTGTGCTGGGACCCAGCCAGGTTGTCTGAGTCAGCCCGAGAGAAATGCCACCGTCTCTTCCTCTTTGCAGGTCTGCAGTTCAGTTTTTAGCAGGAAGAGAAACTCATCTTAAAAGGAGCGGTAACCCTGGCATCAGGCAGTCTGCTGTTAACACATGCAGGGATTTCTCAGGGAGAAGAGTGAAATGGTGAGTGGCAGTCATTCTGTCGAGTCGGTGTCATCCTGTCAAGTCATTTGGGTCTTGTTTGGATGGAAGCAGCGGGGGCGGTCAGAGTGCAGGAGAGGTGAGGCCACAGGAGTGCTTAGCTGTTGGATGAAAAGCTCCCTGGGAGTGTTTAACCCTCCCTTTCTCTGCCCCAACAAGATCAATCAAGCTGGCCCCTTCATTAGCTCTGCATTTTCTTACGGTGCAACCAACAGTTTCAGACATCTGCTTGGATTTTAGCATCTGCCCCAGTTTTTCTGTCCTGGATTGTGCCCTGGGTTATGCAGTGGACCCTTCTTGAGGAGATTTCCTGTCCTGCGAGATGGGACTTGCTGAAATGCACCCTGTCTGTTTAGAAATGGCCAGGTGAGAGTGGCTGAGCACGAAACTTCCTTCCTCCCAGCAGCTAGCTGGCTCTGAGGCTAAAGCAATGTTCTCCTCTGAAATGTAATAATGAATTAATTCCATGAGTATTTACTGAAAACATGCTCTCAAAGGATCTTGGATTGACAGCAGAGCTAGGGGAGTGCAGCACAAAGTTATTTGTTAACAGCATACAAACAGAAATAATAGATTAGTGGCTTTGGTCTCTCTAACCTCTGTTGATCTTCTTTTACTTCCCCATATTGGTCCCCTTGGGATCTCCCTTTCTCTCTCTTCTACATCCTTACCCAGTGAGTGGCACATAGCTGGTGCTGGCCCCATCCAAGAGTTGGCCAGATGTTACCCCAGGAGCTGTATAGGCACAGAAGAGGAGATGGTCGCTGCCCACGAGCAATCACAGTTTGAGCAAGTGTGAGAACAGCTAGCGGAAAAGGAGTATTAGCCATGTGTTGGAGAGTTGATGCTGAGAGGTGGAAGCATCTGTGGTAAATCTGAGAAGTAAATCCAGAGCATCTGATCGCTGGATGTGTGTGTTAGCTGCAGTCATCCATCTCCCCTCTGTTGCCTTCAGTGAAAAGCTCTCTGTATGGAGCTGCAGGGGCCTAATGATGCTGGTTTTGGTTGGGGAAGAGGCCTGTCTCCTTGTGGTCTTTCCTTCTGTTTCCAGGTCAGCAGGATGCTATGAGTTACTGAGTAGCAAAAAGGGAGAGGGAAAGGTTGCAATGTTTATCT